AGTGGTCTCCAAAGGGGGGTATGTGCACCCCAGAGGGTAGCCAAGATAATCCATTGGGATGTGGGAAGAAAATCATGGAAATTCAGTAGTAGATGTGTGTAATTTATAAATAAATAAACACTGATAGATGTGCACTTCCAAAGAAGTATGGAGACCACTCGCCTAGTGGGCTACTGTTCTCCAGGCTTTTGTGCTGAAATTTGTTTTATCCTTCGTTATTACTGCTACTGAAACCAAATTAAGAAGTCCTTGTGTTGAGTTACACTATTAAGGAAGTATAAACTGGTAAGGAGTATGAAAAATAGTGAGATACAAGTGAAACCTATTCATCTTCAAAAGGGTTGTATAAAATGGAGTTTGAATATGAGGCAAAGTACATTTTGCTTATCTGGAGAAATGGAAAGGAGTGGGAATATTCTCAGGTTGCCCAACACAGAGCATGCTGGACATGCCGCTGCTTTCCATAGGAGCAGCTAGTCTTGCTCACCATAAATCATTTATATCCCATGTAGAGGGCCTTCATAATTCACCCTTCCCGACCTTTACAGGAACTTGGAAGAGGAAAAGTCTTTCCCACTGTCTTTGAATGGGTCATCTTATCCCCATCTGTTCAGAAGTAGAGTCCTCTTGCTTCCATGTGAGGGAGCCTGAGACACAAACATGCCACAAACCTGCAGCCGTAGGAGCAGCTTCTCCCATTTGTGGATGAAGGGATAACGTAATTCCCTTGGGAGGTGGGCTCCTCTGTTTTTGTCAGGAAAACAGCTGTTGTGAAAACTGTAGGAGCTTAGTTAGTAATGTCCTTGCTGTGTGATTTTTAACAGACATTGCGTCCTAATGATACTGATTTTGTGATGATCGATATTTATTAGAATATCCACCCTGCTGCAGTAACAGCCATCTCTAGAAGCTGGGCAACTTGTTGCAGGTGTTTTTTTATTTTTATTTTGTGTAAATTGTTTGTCAAGCGTGTGTTATTTTCTTGGTTCTTGATTCTTAAATGAGATCATGCCAGTTCATCTTTCCCTGATACATGTGATTTAATAACAGCAGCTCAATCTCAGTCTAAACTACAATTTGTTGACCTACAAGCTCTTGCCTCTAATTGGGAAATACTGTTGAAGTAAGAAAATACGCAGTGCAAAACGAGTATTTAAAAAGATAAAAGCTGTTTCTCTTGAATGCTTGTCCTCATTTCCCTGCATCTCTGTAGTAGTAGTCAGAATCCCAAATATCATCAGGGTTAGTAATGGGAAGGAGAGCAGAACAGAAATGCCTTTTTGTTCCAGAGAAGAAGGAATACAGAAGTGCCTAAAAGCAGCTGAAAGGAACTGAGGCTACAGCTGCAAGACTCTGAGGGAAGGCAGAGTACAGGGAAGCACCTCTGCTACTCTGAGCTGAAGATGGAAAGATGGGTGGGAGCGAGAAAGGAGCTGCTGCCCAGAGGCCAGGTTTAGTCCCAAGCCATCATTTTAAATATTGTCTGCATTCCGTTTCAGTTCCCTCATGAAAGATATTAAATCCCATGGAGTGTGTGTACTGAAGTACAACTAAGATGATAGTTCGTTTATGAGGAAGAGCTAAAAAGGGTGATCCTGCTTGCACTCGGATAAAGAAAATGCTGAGATGCCCTGGAAGAAATGGTTTTAAAAGAGCACTAAAAATAATAAAATCAAGTAGGCTCTTTTTAGCTGAGAGGCTTAAATGCTTATTAGAATAAATAGAAATCCATTCACAGCTGCTTCCCTTTTGCAGGAGTAAAGAAATATATGAAGCTCTATTTATATTATATGGCATTGCCCAAAGGTGCAAGATTATTGAACAAATATTTTTTTACTAGATACAGCCTTCTGAGATGCCCACAAAGGATTCTTCTTGTATCTCCTGATCTGCAGTTTTAAGAGAATAAATCTTTAATAGCATAGTATGGTACTTATTAGCTGGGGTGGAAAAGTAATCATCCTCATTAGTTAGGACTTGTTTGAATAAAACTTGGAGTCTGGTATGATGGAACAAAACAACGCATCGTGGCTCAAACAGAAGGCAAAAAAATAATGACTGTATTTGCCTAGGTATGAAACTGCACACCTGTGAATGGAAAAACAATTGCACGAGTTCCCATTGTCTGTACTGCCCTACAAACTGCTAAATACTCTTCTTCTGCACAGGTTGGTGGGAAAGCAGGGAGGTAGTTAGCAACTCACCGTCCCTGCAGTTGGGCTCACACCAAGGTGAAAACCATCCAAATGGCACTTGGCTGGCATTTTCTGCTGTAGACAGGGAAATGGGAGGGTGAGCTTAGGCATCTCCCTGATGCCATGGCTGTGTAGCTGTCGTCACCAGGCCCTCGGGAATGCCCCTGGAGCAGCAGCGAGCGCCTGGCAAGTTGGCATTGTAGGTTGTGAGGCACCTCCCGTGGGAGTCTCCGTGTGCCAACTGTTCCAGGGGCGTTCTCGGGAAAATGTAAATACAGCCATTACAGCATCGTGCTCCTGTTGGTTTTACAGGCTGCTAAATTAGCCTATAAAGGAAGCAAGAGTCAGCAGTTCTCAGGTCAGACTGGGTGAATTAGGCCCTGGATCAGCAATATTTTCTTGTTTTATTAAACACAGGATTGTTGTTTGCTAATTCAGCCCAGTGGTAGTGGCAGTGATTGTACTAGGAATTTGCTTGCACAGTAGTAACAGGAGGGGAAAAACTTCCATTCAAACTTTATTGGAAGGTGTTAATCTGAGCTGATCTGAAACATTTTTGATGCTATATGAGTAATGCAGACTTTTTCTGCCATGCAGGTCATACGTTTGGTAACAGTAAATACAGATTTCTTTACAAGGTATAGTTATAAGTGCTCTAAAAGAGCATTTGTTCATCCTTTTGTTGCTGTTGTAAATAATTATCCATAAAGTATCTGATGTAAAAAATAGACTGTAAAACGGAACTAAGATCTCTGATATTTCTGCCCTTCATTGACACAGTTCCATACGCTGGAAATGATTTATGATGATGTAGCCAAGCAATTTTTAGCCTCCACTCTCACATTGTTCAAATTACAATTATATTCCCCTCAGGGAAAAAGTACTATATATTTTCCCTGAACTGGCGATCTTTTCAAATTCTCTTCTTTTTTTCTTCCAGTGCAGTGCTGAAGTTGGCAGGTAAGGAGTTGCCAGGAGGTGCACTGACATTAGAAATGTCAGAGGTCAGCCCATGATGTGGGAAAGAAAGGGGTTGTCAAGAAAGCAAGTTAGCCTTTTTTATGGAAACATTCAGGTTGTATCTTTGTTGAGAATGACACAGTCCTGTGGCTGGGCTGTTCCTGCCTGGGGAGCAGAAGTGAAAAAAGGAAACTTGGAAAGGTTATAGATTTAGCAAAACGCTTGCTGTTGGTTGCCTAAGGGGAGTATTTAAAAAGAAATCTTGCTCTTATCTGAAATGAAAGGTCGAATGATTAATGATTAATCGGTGTGTATCTCCTTATTTTACCTGAGTCTGACAAAACGAAGCCCTCTGTTTACTTTGTAGGCCAAAGAGGTGTCACTAAATGACACTATTAATAAAACATATTTCCTGTAACATAATGTGTTTGTTCACTGCAAACAATGCATAGTGTTACAGTGAGCTTTTGAAAAGAAATTCAAAAGCTTTGAAAGCTTACTATCATAAGAAGCCAGTGTTTTAAATACTCTAAAACAAAAGGATTAAGCTGTGGTTCCACATTTTTCATCTTTCTTTTTCCTTGTTAAATTGAAGGCTGGAATTCCTTTACAAAATTAATTTCAGTTCCTGAGCAGACTTCAGAGTTCTGGTCGTGATAAGTCTTTTTCTTTTTCAAGTGGTTTACTTCAAGTTTCACTTGAAATAGAAATTACCCATGAATGGCATTGGCAGATTTATTTATAAAAAGAGCCCTGTTTCTAATGTTTTAATAGAAATGAGTCTGGAGAATTTGTCATGGGAGCGCTCTCCTATTTAAATATATATTTATATTTATATATATGTATATATAATCCCTACTAGAGAAGCAGGAGTTCACAGATGTCAGTGTAAGAACAGACTGTTTCATCAGTAAAAACTACTCTGAAAACAGATCATTTTCCAAATCAGAGGTTTCAGTCTTCAGTCCTTCCCCAGCCCCTGAGAGAGCATCCTGACAGGCTGGGTACTGCTGCTGTGCTCAGCACAAAGGTTTATGTGCATCCAAGTCATATTTCTCCTGGAAGGAAACCATAATAGCAAGCGTTGCTTCCAGGTGGAGTGCGGGAGTGCGTTTGGACCTAGGGATGTAGTGGGGAAGATTTATCTGCGTCACAATTTCACAGTGAGATAAGAGCAAAATGCACACAGCCTTGCAATTGACAGGATAGGGAGCTCTTTGTGTGTGGGTGTTAATGTGTAATATTTTATGAACTATTCAAAAGTTATGCTTTAGACTTTTTGTTTCTGCATGTGATTTAACTACCTGCCCAGTTCTTGAGGAGTAGCTGTGTAAAAGCAATGATTTACATATCCTCTGAAATTTACAGCTGGACCAGCAAGATTTAAATCACTGTAAGAGGTCATCTCTCCTTTTGGTCTCCAACTTCTTTGCTCTTCTGCTAAAACAGAATTACATTTCTAATATTAATTTCTGTTCCCTGTTGCATATGTATTTCACTTGAACTAAAACTGCAGGTACTGTTTTTGCTGTATTCTCCATTAAGTGAATTTATGTAAAGATTATGTAAATATTATACAACCCCGGGGTTGGATGGCACATCCTAGTTCACACAGAGCTCCTGGTACATATTCCACAGTTTTCTTAAGTGATTCCACTGAGTTGACTTGAGAAGGTGGATGTAATTCAATGAGAAAGATGGAGAGTAAAATCTGCACGGATGTGGTCAAAGTCCTGCAGGTCTAAATCAGAGCAAAATGCAAATCAGATTTGTATTATCTGTGGTTACACTGCCATCTAGTGACTTGAAGAGTCAATATATTTTTTTTATTTTTATTTTTTAAAGATTAGCATCTTCATGACACATTTGTCTAATTACGGCAACGATCGCCTGGGGTTGTACACCTTTGTGAATCTGGCCAACTTTGTTCATACGTGGACAAACCTGAAACTGCAAACTCTTCCTCCGGTGCAGCTGGCTCACAAGTATTTCGAACTATTCCCCGAGCAAAAGGACCCTCTCTGGCAGGTAGGCAGGCTTGCTGATAAGCAGATCAGGAAAAAAAATGGTCTTGATGGTGTTTTTTTTGAAGTTCTTTGTTTCAGTTTCTTGTAAAGTAATATTTTCAGTTTTGCTAGTGAGTTTCAATCCAAGCAAATGCTTGGCTTGCTATTATTTTAATCTCCACAGAAAGACTGCAAAATTAATATGTACTACCATGTAGTAGAAATTCATTTGTTTTATTCCTGTCTTTACTTATTTTTAGAATTGTGGGAAATGAAGGAAAGGCGTTTGGTGTTAGCTCTCGTCTTCTCCTTTTTAAGCTAACAAGATTGAATCATTTGAAAGAGAGATGTATATGCATGTTTTAACAATTGGCCATTAAAGACAAACTTTATTGTGAAACAAGTGTGTGAAGAGAAGAAGGAATCCAAAAAAAGCAAAGAGCACTAAGACCATGGGTACCTTAATACTACAATCGACTCACCAAGCAGAAATAGATTAGAACAGAAAGTTACTTGCAAAAAGCTGAGTGTCCAGGCAAGAACTTGACCAGCACGTCGTAGTACACTGATGTTGTCAACTCTGCTGTTTGATTAGGCCACTCTCCTAAGTGAGCAAATTGAATATGTCAGGAATCTGAAGATAAGCTACAGCTGAAGCCTGCACTACCTTGCAGCTGATGCTTCTTCAGCCAGTGACCCAGTGATAAGAGCACAGTCCCTAAAGAGAAACTACTGCAGGAACCAGTGACTGTTGTGATGCTCTGTTTGCAGCCACTCGGTGACAGTTCAGTGGAATGCCTCGGTAATATAGATACCTGTAACCCTACCTAGATATTGTATATCCCGAATAATCATCTTTGTGAGGTGACTCAAAGTATTCTAGAGAGCAGGCTTTACTAAATCAAACCTTAGAATGAATTTAAGCTTGTTTATTCAAATGTTTTTAAGTGTCAGATATTGAATTGCCAATTTATTAAGAATCTGAATATGAGATTGCAAATTTGGCTGTAAATTTACAGCTTGAAATTCATGCTGTTCCTGAATAAAGCATTGAACTAGCGGAAGATATGTTGAGAACTTTGCATAATGTTAAGGGAGTATGAATTTAAAAAATGGAAATTAGCCTGTAGCCAAAGGACTTGAATAATTAGTATAACATAGCACTGACATTTCTGAGTAACAATGACTAACATCTACTGAAAGCGGTGTTTTTTGTCTACAATTCACATAAACATAAATGCAGTTAGAAGAATGGTAATTCCCTTCATCTCAGCAAAGTACTGCCAAAGAGCAGTGTCAAAATTTGTATGCAAGTAGCATTTGTAAAACAAATGTAAACTGATTCAGATGTAAAGCAACACTTGAAAAAAACTGTTACATCAGGACCCACTGTGGACTCAGTAGTCTGTACTGATTTGTACTGGGAGATCAGAAGATGTATATGTGAATGGAAATTCTTCTACTATAATTAATTATTCTTCTACTTTAATTAATTCACCATTTTAGTTTTAAAACTGTGGTATATATAAAGTGATACCCATTAAAACAATGTAAAAGAAAAAGTAATTAGAGAATTCATTAGCAATTTCAAGTCTTCTTAATCTCTATATAATTGATTAATTTTGAATTATACCCAAATCTACCATATGTTGGATTAGATCTGTCTTTGGCATAATTCTGTTAAATTTACTGACATTCATTTGAGAAATGATCTCGTCCCAGGGTCTGTTGAGTGGCTTGATCAACTACATATAGGAATGAGTTAAAATGAAAACTCTTTCTGCTGCATACTTGTCTGAAAGCGTCTATTCCCACAAAAATAAATTGCTGAAATAGTATTTTCATAAGGGAAAATAGTAGTTTATGGTAAGAATATTTGCATCTTGATTACAAATTGTTAATTTATGTAAACAGAATTTAAGAACCATGTCAGGTATGATTATCAATAAAATTCTTAGTAGTTGTTGTTCTCCATTTTAGAATCCCTGTGATGACAAACGACACAGAGATATATGGTCTAAAGAAAAAACCTGTGATCGATTACCAAAATTCTTGGTTGTAGGACCACAGAAAACTGGTGAGAGTTTATTATTTCATCAAGATAGTGTATGTGTAAGTAGAAGTAATTAGAAGTAAAAAAATCAGGTTTTTCTCAGGGTGCTCTATGTAGATCTTGGTCATCTGTTAGTATTTTTATTTTCAAGCATCCAAATACAGTTTAATAATATAAATTACAACAAAAGACCATATAAACTTTTACACAAATATGAACATTTGCAGTGTTCTGGTGTGCGTCAGATTTTTGTGAGCTTTATTTCAAAATGAGTAATAGTGCTAAGTCAACAAGATTGACAAGATCTTGTCAAAGCTGAGGGAGGGAAAGACAGACATTTTTCCAATCGTGTAGATTCATAACTGCAAGTTTTTGTCTGTGCTGCAAGTGTCTTTTTTAGAGAAAATTGTTATTTCTTGGAATTTATGTGAAGAAGTTCCTAATGGAAAGTTTGAATTGCAAGGTTACAATAGTTTGTGAAATAACTTCATGGTTAATTTTCTTCTCTGTAATTATAAAATTGTTTATCTGTTTCCTTTTGTCTTCACCTTTTAAATTAGGTTTGTAACAATCTCATGAAAAATTATTTTTAATGCAGTTTTTAAAAGCATGAAAAACAACATGGACACTCTAGTTTCTCTGTTACCTATTTAGAGTTCTTTAAATCCCTTTGATTTAAAAACATAGAAGATACAGATTCATAGGTGACATAAATCAGCATCCCTTCACTGATGTGAAAAAGAAATAAAGTAGGTTTAGTCCATCAGAGGGTATGACCCATAAAATATGTGTGTGCATGTGTATTTTAATCTTGGATTTTTGTCCCATCTGCAGGTACCACAGCCTTGTATTTGTTCCTGATCATGCATCCTTCCATCATTAGTAACTCCCCCAGCCCAAAAACCTTTGAGGAGGTACAGTTCTTTAATAGAAATAACTACCACAGGGGGATTGATTGGTAAGATGGGTTATTAGTATAAATATAAAAGTTTATATATTGTGAACAGTACAAAAATGGCATTGCTGTTGGTAATGTTAACTGTTTATGCATAGAGAGATTAAAAAAAAAACCTTCAGTGTCCTTCTAAAATAAGTAAATTCAAGTGAATAACAGTCATAGTGCATATCATAAGTGCAGTAATTTTTGTGAGGCTTTCTCATAAATATCCAAGTATTAACATATGCAGAAAGAGTAAAAACGTTAATTTCTTAATTCTCCAAGTCTTTAAAGGTAAATTGTAATATATTTCTATGACAGGTAACTTATTCCTTACTACACATGCTTCTGAAGTTGGGACAGTGTTGTTAGTTGAATACATATGGACGCAAAAAATATGTTCGTATTACAAATCTCACTTCTTACAAAAAAAAAAAAAGGAAATAGATCAGAGATGCAATTTTTCCTTTACCTACAATTTAGGAATAGCAATCAGTTAAGCAGGGAGAAGGAGAGACTCTCAAAATATTTTTCAAAGATGCAAATTAGCAAAATGTTAATGGCTCAGTAGGGTAGGTAAGTAGTGCTAAAAAGGAGTATGTTTCACTGCTGCCATGTTCACTGTGGCTACCAGGGAATCACCAAATGTATCTACACCAAGAAGGTCATTCTTGATTTCTCTTGCCTTCAGAAAGTGCTGCATTATAAAACACTACAAGATGAAAAACAGTAACATCCAGTAGTGGCTCTGGAGCACCATTAAAAGATTATTGATGTTCTGTCTTGTTCTGTTTTTTCCCCAGTCTGAGGGAAAATAGTTTTATTGCCTTTGACTTTGTATTCATCCATAAAATTAGCAGGTTGAACACGGTTGTATGGTCGTAGTGCAGATATGTCAGATCCAATTTCTTTTTATGTCACTTAGTTTTTACAGAATTATAATCATTTCAGCAGTTTCTTACACAAAGTGTGGTGAGTCATCCAGTTAATACCAACTGAGATTCTGGCTGAATGACTGGAAATTAAAGAGCTGAATCTTTGCTGTTAAGCTTTCTGAAGTCAGGGAAGATGACATGCAAACAAGGCATAGTGGATCTATGCTGATGGTGACAGGTTCAGTGAGCCAGTTCTACGAAATCATCATTTTCACGTGGCAGGAAGACCACTTTGCTGCTTCTCTCATTCCTCCTGCCTTAACCACCTCCCTAACATGCAGATACAGTTTGTCTGCTAGACATGTGCCAGATTACCTTCATCTTAACACAGCACTGGTGCATAAGGCTCCCAGTGGTCAACTTTATAGACCAGGTACATCATTTTGTCAGGTCTCACTCCAGAGCATCCATCTGGCTATTGTCTATCTGTGCTGCCTACCCCAGTCACCCCTGGCAGGTTCTCACAGGTAAGTCTTCGATACTCCAAGCTACCTTTTGATGCAGTTGTTTAACTCTTAGGTTTGTATTCTGTCTGCCAGACAGATCTTTCAGACCTTCATTCTAACAGAGTATTTTAATGCTGTCATGTAATAAGCTTACCAAATGTTAATTAAGTATATGGTCTCTCCTCATTAGTCCATGAATTGGCTAGGATTCATTCAAAGCAAGAGTAATCACTAATAGCAGTTCTCTAAAACCTTCTCAGCTTTGACGTTATAGAGTTTAATAAGTTGTCCCTAAGAATTAGCTTCTCAGAATCAGATGTCACAAAGTTCAGTTTCTTTAAACCACTGTAGATTCCTGCCTTTTCTCTAAATACCTTGTAATCAGTGGCTGTATGCTAATGATGTGTGTCCCCTAAGGAAAACTGCATGTGCATCAGTCAGTTCCAACCTCTCAAGTCTTCTGGCTGTGCCCGCAATGGTTACAATTTCAAAGACAACAAGAGCATGTCATTTATATTGAAAGTAGTTCAGTCCTATGAATAGAACAAGGTCTGAGCACTGGAAGAAATTTCAGTACTTAAGCATGACCATCAGAAGAGGTTGTTTTAAATGCCCTTTATTTTATTGATAAAAGGTTTAACTGAAAAATCAAGAAGACCAACATTTCCCATTTCTTCTTTCTCCCCAACAGTAATCACATGTAGTCTGAGGGCTAGGGAATAAAGAAGTCTGTATGTGACATTTGAGATTATTAGACATGAATTGGAATTTTGTAATAATGTATGAGGAAAGCTCGCAAAGAAAACTAAAAGGAATTCAACCCATGTTTCCATTCATAGAACAGTAATAGAAGGATGCTGTCACTGCTTAGAAATGTTTCACCTGCTGAAGCTGTGGTGGTTTTTTATTGGTGCATCTACCTCATATAAACAAGCTATTTTCTGCTTTTTAGCAAAAGCAGTTCTGTTACTAAATATCTATTTATTACAATATTTCACAATAATTGGTGTCTGCAAAGGACCAAATTTGGGAAATTTTTTTTAACTTTTGACATTGATTGGTCAGAGTTCCTTCTGACCAAAGAGTTAGAATTCTCTAATCGTAAATAAATACCTGAATATCATAATGTTTTCTTCCACCTACGAAAAATAGCTGCAATGTCTAGTTAATGTAGTGAAGAGAACAAAGCTAGTACCAAGTAAAACATGATAAAAAAATACAATGTAAACTTCTTGTTGCTTTTATTTACCAATTAGGCTATTATTTTTATTGATTATTGAAGAATAAAATGTACTTAACAGATTTGTCAGACTTTCTGTGGCTTTCAAGTAATTCTGAGAATGATGTTTCTTTCCTAGGTACATGGATTTCTTCCCTACTCCTTCCAATGTCACCACTGACTTCCTCTTTGAGAAAAGTGCCAACTATTTTCATTCTGAGGAAGCTCCTAAACGAGCTGCTTCCCTTGTCCCCAAGGCCAAGATCATCACCATCCTCATTGACCCATCTGACCGGGCATATTCGTGGTATCAGGTACGCATTCTGAGGAACACAGGCAGTCACAAATCAAATAAATAAGTCAGGTTTCCACCTTGAATCCACTCTATGTTCTTTCAGTCCGTATATATATAAAGGGGTTAGACAATATATATAAAGGGCTTAGACAATACAAGCTTTTATTGGTCAGTTGGTGATCCACGTATCATTAACCATAGACTAAGGTATCTGTCCATGTAAATCTGAAAAATCTTTTGAAGGTTAAAATACCAGAAACCACATTTTTGAAAGCCTTGCTAATCTAAGCATATAAAAATGCTTGCTCGCTTGATTAATGTATGTAATCAGCACACAGATAAATGAGTTTATACAAACATTGGCAAGGCTCATGTTCAAAATATGGGGTTTGTATGTGTCCATGATCTTGTTGTTTTGCACATACCTAATTAAAATAAACACAGGTGCAGAAATAATAGCTGAATTGCAATTAAAGGTAGAACTTCCATCTTAAATGCATCATCAGCACTGAGTACTTTTTTACTGCAGTACTTTACCTTAATGTTTCATAGCACTAAAGTACTGGAATTCCTTTGTGGTGTTGTTGTTGTTATAATATTAGAAGAAACTATGTTAATGCTGAAGGAGTATTCTGCAAATTATAAAAATAAGTAGATTCCCCATATGTAATTTGCAACAGTTATTCAAAGCAATAGTAAATACTTAGTGGAGTTGAGAACAAAGCATAAAATTAAAAGGGATGATTGAAGGTTAGTTTAATACAAAGCATGGCTATCTAGTTTTTTGATCTATATATTATGTTTTTATCTATATTTTTAGGAATCAGGGCAGATTGTGGTAACGATGCTTCTTTTTAAAATATTTTTAAAAGATATTTTAGTAACAGCAACAATGATAAAATACTATAAATTCCATATAAAAATATGACGAAATCCTTTACACAGTGCAGTTGTTCATACATAGTATTTCACCAGCATAACAATTGCATACAATTAAAAGCTAGGTGCCAGTTACCTTGGTATAAGATATTTGAAGCACAGATAGTAAGCTATGTTCAGAATAGATTTCTACTTCTCCAGCCCTAGTCCTAGTTAATAGTTTTGACTTAAAATAAGCTATTTTTATTCTTCTGGTCCACATGAAATTGGATAAAATGCAAATACAAAAAATAAAATTCCAAAAAGAACGAAGTTCTTTGGAGAGCTGCCAGGCAGAGAAGGACCTGGGAGTGATGGTTGATAGTCGGCTGAATATGAGCCAGCAGTGTGCTCAGGTGGCCAAGAAGGCCAACGGCATCCTGGCTTGTATCAGAAACAGTGTGACCAGCAGGGCTAGGGAGGTGATCGTCCCCCTGTACTCGGCTCTGGTGAGGCCGCACCTCGAGTACTGTGTTCAGTTTTGGGCCCCTCGCTACAAGAAGGACATCGAGGTGCTTGAGAGGGTCCAAAGAAGGGCGACGAAGCTGGTGAGGGGCCTGGAGAACAAGTCCTACGAGGAGCGGCTGAGGGAGCTGGGCTTGTTCAGCCTGGAGAAAAGGAGGCTCAGGGGCGACCTTATTGCTCTCTACAGATACCTTAAAGGAGGCTGTAGCGAGGTGGGGGTTGGCCTGTTCTCCCACGTGCCTGGTGACAGGACGAGGGGGAATGGGCTTAAGTTGCACCAGGGGAGTTTTAGGTTGGATCTTAGGAAGAACTTCTTTACCGAAAGGGTTGTTAGGCATTGGAACGGGCTGCCCAGGGAGGTGGTGGAGTCACCATCCCTGGAAGTCTTTAAAAGACGTTTAGATGTAGAGCTTAGGGATATGGTTTAGTGGGGACTGTTAGCGTTAGGTCAGAGGTTGGACTCGATGATCTTGAGGTCTCTTCCAACCTAGAAATTCTGTGATTCTGTGATTCTTACAAGTTTTATGACATATTTTGTGTTATTGTTATGATGAGGAGAAATGAAAGCTGTAAATCCAGTCTGGCCCTGCTTTGAATGGCAGGCTTGACTTAGAAACCTACTGAGAGCTTTTCTGACCTGAGTTATCTAATGATCCTCATAAATACCAATTTTCCTTTCCAATTATTTGCCTTGTTTAAGCTGGAAAAAATAAAATATGAAACTACTAGAAACAGAGCTTCATGGTATTTTTGTTAGTTATGCTAGATTCGTTTGTACAAAAGCTGCCACCCAGTTTTTGAAAAAATAAACATTTATGCATTCTATTTTGTTATTGCTAGCATTAGTCTATCTTCTAATTTCTTTTGGTACAAACATTAGCAGTGTTTATCCCAGCATTTTCAACAAATGAATACAGATGAGGACTTCTTAACCTAAAGTAACCTAAAGCAACTTCTATTGTGGATAATCACTCATGGCAAGGTCAGTAAGACTGACCAGTTTTTTCTTATTTTCACAACTTTTGTGGTGTGTAAAACTCAGCAATGTAACTTGTTTTACAGCATCAACGATCACATGAAGATCCTGCAGCTCTAAAATTCAGTTTCTATCAGGTGATCACAGCTGGACCTCGAGCCCCTTCTGAGCTTAGAGCTCTCCAAAAGAGATGCCTAGCACCTGGATGGTATGCTACACATATTGAAAGATGGCTAACTTACTTCCCACCTTATCAGGTGAATAAGACTGTAACTTGACATCCTAAACTTACATATATAATATCCTAAAAGATTACCTTCAGTAATAGTCTTGCCTAATGAGTGCTGATCCTCAGGGGATATCCTAGGTACACTCTAACATGCTTTAAGACATTGATTATTCATAGCTATGTTCTAATTAGTTGACCTGACATTGCTATGGATATTGTGTATTCCACGCAGCTGGGAACTTATGCAAAACAGATCAGAGTGATCTAGAAGTTCAGGAAACTTCATTGGTGCTCATTGAATGCTCTGGTATCCTGGACTGCCTTTAGCTTACAGCTTTTTTTTTTTTTTTTTTAATTTGCTCATGCTTTCATCACTGTATGTCTGATTCCTTGTCTGTAATGTTGAGGAAAAGAGAATTAAGCGTGCAGTGCTTTGTGGTCTTTTTAGTATCAGATATTCCATCAAGCTTCGCAAGAAAAAAAAAAAAAAAGATGGAAAATAACGAGATGCTCCTCAGTAGTATTTCTGTCCTCTCTGAATGGTAACAACTCTCATCTACTACCAAGTGATGTAAGCTGGAATTTTGCCCTCTGTATGTGGGAGGGAAGGGGGAAAATCGCTCTTTAAAATAGATTTGGCACCTGAAGACTTTGGGGTATACACAATATTTTTTTCCATCTAAAATAAGGAATAACAGATGAAAATGGATGTGATCTAGTGAAGCTGTAACACTTCAATCTTTAAATGCATCAGTGTCTTCACCCAGTCCTTGGTTCTTTCATGCACTGCCACTGTGTCACCCTCCTTAGGCTATGATTATAGTAATGAACAAACCTGGACACAAACAGTTTGTTGAGTCTGGACACAATCAGTTTGTTTTTGTGGGTGAGAGGTTTTAGAAGTGTGGATCCACGTCGTGCTTATGCCATTTAGTCTCAAGAACAAAGAGCTGCCTCTGATTTGTTTTTGTTAACAGTATAAATAAAACTTTTGTGTACATCCATGTGTTTGCCATCTCAGACATCACCATTTTTCAAGATGAAATCATAGTTTGCCTGATGACTTTTCTGTAGCTGTTGGTGTTCCTAATCACGTACATTTGGTATCTATTGCAAACTCTGAAAATCCTTGACATATCCTTTGTGTTAAGACCAGTTTTTCTGTCTTTGAGTCTCAGAGGGTGTCTGTTTATGGGCCCAGAGATTTTGGTACAGATGGAGCATAAACAATCTGAAAATTGTATCTCCCCTGTAAACTTCTGCTGGTATACAACATACAAGTTTTTAGTCTATTTCTGGCCCTGTGTAGAATCAGGCCTCAAGAGATTTGCATCCTAAGCCCTGAACATCATCTGCTATACAAAAACAGGGAGACATGATCAGTATCTCCTTCATAGATTTATTTCTGGAATAGATTTTTCTGACATTAACAGTGTGTCTGGCACTGCTCCTCACCCAACATTTAAAGATAACTTTAGCTGAGGGAGGTTGGCTGCAGCCTGAACCTTCTGTTTAGCCCAGATTTGCTTAGCTGAGACAATTTGGCTGGAGTCCATACCTTCTGTTTTCTTAGAGTGTGCCAAAGAAGTTCTGTAGCCTCTAGTTGGTGTTATTCTTCACATATTCTCTTTTGGGGCAGCCTTGCAGAATTCATGAGATACACAGTACTGTCATATCATGATACTTGTATGAAATTTTCTACAACATATTTTCATTAGGTTTTCTCCAAAGTAACTGATGAGTACTGAACAGTGCGCATCATCAGACAGAATTTTGCCAGATTTTGCCTCCCACAATGATGGTGAAGAACCAGCCCTGATAGCTTTATATTTTCTCTGTTAAAGTATTAGGAGTTAACTTGCATTGCAAAAGCAACAGCGTATGGTAGGTTATATCCAAACTTGTTAGCAATTTCAGAGAACTGCTGAAGCATGAAACAGTTACATAAGCTACACCTAAAAACAGATCGGCTTAGAAATACAGCCTTGTAGAGCCTTAGTCAGTAGGCATATAGTAAATGGCAGAAGTTGCAACAAGGATTGGTAAAGTTCCCCTAATATATTTTGTTGTCTGCTCCCTGAAAGTGTCAAGAATTTGAATCAATTTCCATTGGCAAAACTTTTTCTTACACATCTTTTTTTTTTTTTTTTTTTTTTTTTCCGCGTGGCAGAAGCAGGGATGGCCCAGATTTTTCTATTTGTTAAATACTGAAGAAGAAATTTCATTCTTTTTCTTTTGGATGGAAATATTCCCCACTTGGGATCTTTTTTGACCGCTGTGCTATGAAGCCTTTCAGACCTTACTTCTTAGTAAAACAGCAGGTTCATTTTTGGACTCAAGCAGTCATAATGCATCTGATTTGAAAGACTTCTGGGATGAGCTACTGATTTCTGAACAGCTTGATACTTCACTAATCCACATCTCTAAATCCACATATGGGTAATTCCAAAGACTGATCTTTCAAAAAAAAAAAAAAAGACATTTTCTTCCTTTTGATTATGCTCTGAAACCTTATAGAATTGCAAACCTAATAAGCTTCATCCAATCCTGGAAGCAAATCATAGCCTCTGTCCTTGCATAAAGAGCAAGCTTCAGCACTGCATACGGAATGAGACCATTGAACCGTCTGCAGATTTGTTGCCCCCCTCCTTTTCATCACCAAAACATGATGGAAAATGTAAAGCTGTTTCCATCACAGGAAATGAATGCTTGCCTAATCCATTTCAGTGGGTCGTTTAAGCATGATACTGCATTTGATATAATCCTCAGATACTGTTTATTTCCATGAAGATTCATGTCCAGGTAAAAGGGTAGCCCTATCTGAAGTGGACTGGTGTGAGTGCATATATGATCAAGCAGTTACAAAAAGAAGAAATTGCTTTCCAGCACCTGGCTTTCTTAGAGATGTATTTCACATTCTGTATCTACATGCCTGTCATGATGTCATCGTTACCTTCATTCATATTCTCAAGTGTTTTTCATAATATTTTGTATTCTTGTATAGTTTCAGAAGTAAGGCATTTAACTTAACATCTACCTACTATTTTTTGTCTTTTCGGTCATTTCCAGTGACAAGCCTTTCAATGTGACTGTAACATATATTTGTATATTCCCGTGTCTGTGAGAATTAATATTTCTTTAGGCACTAACAGCTTTTCTTTTTTTCTTTTCTGGACAAGTCTCATTCAGTTTCCTGCAACATTTCTTATATTTCTAGGCCCTTCACTGCTATTTCTCTTTTGCCACAACAGCTTCCAATTTGATATCATTTCAGATTTAATTAACATGTCATTATCCTACTCATTAATGATAATGACAAATAAAACTGGACCAATTATCTAGGGCATTTCTCATCATATAATGAATGACTTTGACAGAGGTAGAAGTTCCAGTTTGAAACTTGACATAATGAATTTTAAATTAAACTTCCATTTATTTTATTTTTTGTAGTTGCTAATTATTGATGGACAGCAGCTAAGAACTGACCCGTCTACCGTAATGGATGAAGTGCAGAAATTTCTGGGAGTCTCTCCTCATTATAATTACTCTGAAGCCCTAACGTGAGTTAATTTTGTCATCATTATTGCTTGTTCATATGTTCCTAAAATACCAGTTAATCTGTAAATAAGGTCACTACAAAACAAAGCCTCTCATACTTCTCCCCTCATGTAAGTGTAGTAGGATGTATTCATTGGTGTCTGGAAAAGAGCACAATACAGGGTTAGATTTCCTGTAAAGCATACACTGAAGTCACTAAATGTGGAGTTTGACTGTTACTGGAGTAGACATTTGATAAATGGACAAAATAAATACTGCTTTGTGAGAACTGCAAGTGAATTTTGGATGAATAAAAAGGAATTTTATTTCCATCAGCAAATGGAACATGGAATACTGACATGCATAAGGAGAAAGGAAGAATACTTAGTTTCTGTTTTGGATGTTAGCTGCAAGATTCAACAGTATCAGTCAAGAATATAACATCCACTCTGTATGTCATAAATACACATGTACACAAATTCTTTGGATTCTGACACTTAGATTTGGTTTCCCTTAAAGTAAGATTGACAGGATTACTCTTTTCAATAGGAGTCTATTATCTGTCCTTATAGGAAGCTCGCAGAAAAGAATGTTTTCATTTCTTAGAAATTTATTTATTTAATAGTTTCATCTAGTTGTATTCTATTCTCTTTTATGGCACAGGTAGCAAAACAGACTTTCATTTTCCATGAGATAGTCAAGTGCATTGTAAAGACATAAAGGGACAAATGATCCCTGAAGTTGAGTCTATTGAAAACATATTTCATTTGTTTGGCTTTTTGGTTTGTTTTGGTGATGGTGGTGGTGGCTTGTTTGTTTGTTTTTGTTTGATTTTTTTTAAATACTGAAGCCTTTGGCCTGGATACTGTGAATTAATCCCATCTGCATCTAAGTCTATTGCATGCATTTTCCTTTATGTCAGCCTTTGTACCCAGGTAATGTTCACAGAAATAAAGCAACTTTTTTGATTAGAGTGCACTGATGCCAGTTTGTCTTCTCAGCTGTTACCAGCTTGCTAACACCAGTAATTAATTTGTCTTTAAATGACTTAATTGTCACATGTATTTTTACAAAAGAGATACAAATAATACAAATTATTTTTACTCATAATTTTGAGATTGCAGTATAGCAATGTGAAACAAAAAAAAAAAAAATTGGATTTGTGTATCATTTCTCCATAGAATTAGAAGAGTTTTGTACCTTCTGGGTTTGTACTGTCCTGCCTGCAAGGAATGCCAATAGTGTATATTTTATGTATATTGGTATACTAGTATACCAAATTTACAGAATGGGAGTGAAGGATTTGGAAGTGAATTGTAGGCTAAGTATCTTAAGATTCACATTTTATAATTTGGGCAGAGATAACTAAGAAGAAAAAAATGTGCATGGTGGTTACATTGAGCTGATGAAATCAACCTAAGCCCAGCTGGAAGAAGTGTTTTCTATCTTTGCTGTCAAAAGCTCTCTAAGGGAGAAGTCAAAACCCATTGCTTAGCCCAGTGTAGCTGTCTGGTAAATACATTGCTTTCTGTTGGACTTCCGAACTATAATATGTCTGAAACAACAAACACAGATGTTACCTATGTCTGTGTTGCAAGCAAAAGCCCTGCCTTTTTTTCTGCATGCCTACTCTCCATAGACTAAGAATGTATTCTTGGAAGACATGATGTAATTCTTAAAATGTGCCTAAAATTTGTGTCCAAAGTCTACATGATAACATATATAGACTGCACATAAGTATTTTTGTTACAGTGATTATGCCAGTACCTCTGCCCACACTAAATCTGTCTTCCCCAACAATAATCTTAATAATCACCTCATTGTATCACACATAGGTACCATCTTTTTTGGTATAAACTTCAGAGATGCATCCTCCTTGCAGTATCTTGTAGCCTTTACACTGCAAGATACAGTCTTTCCAGGATAACTGTTGGCTCCTGCCTCTGTCCTTTTTCTTCTTTTTATTTACTTCATTTGTTGTGTCTGGAGCAAGTTCTTAATGCCTTGCTCCTGTTAAATCTCTTCAGCTTCTCCGTTTCTCCACTTGTTTGATGCCTTTTTTCCTGAAATGACTTTTTTTTTTTTTGGAGCAAAAAATAGCTCTTAAGAATTGCTCTTAAGCTCTTATTTTCTTATATTTCTGTGTTGAAAGTGTACAAAATACTTGTTTCAGGTTCGATTCACATAAAGGTTTCTGGTGTCAGCTTCTGGAAGAAGGAAAAACCAAGTGTCTTGGAAAGAGCAAAGGTAGAAAATACCCTCCGATGGATTCTGAGGTAAACCATTATACTCATTGGCATTATACAGGGATTTAGCCATAAGTGAGACACCACAAAGGCAAAATCATAAGAAAGGAAAGAAGACAAAATCAAGTAGCCATTAATTATTTGACTACCTTTCCCTACAAATGAGGCCTTTAAGGTAGTTGTGGAGAACACCATTTTTTTTAGTTCTTTATATCAAATGTGAAGAATTTAAGTTGTTGTTTGTGTTTGGGTTTTTGGTATGGGGTTTTTTGATTGTTTGGTGTTTCTTTTTTTGTGGTGGTATTTTGTTTTGTTTAAGGAAAAAAATAAAAACTAATTTTGAAATTTGGCACCTGTTTGAAAAATAAACTTCAGTAAATTCAAAGTAGCTGTACCAGCTTCAGAGCAATTCTTAATTTACATGTCTATCTGAGAGCAGATCAGATCCTTTGCTTTGACACCAGTGTTTGTTATGGACACCTTTTGTTTCTTGAAATTATCTGTTAAAGTTCAGATGATAATTGATGAGCTTAAACTTGTATGCAGTAGATATCATAAAAAAATATATAAATTGCATAGGAGAAAGTAAAGTTTTGACACAGGTAAAAGAAACTTTGAAACTAAGAATTCACGGCAATTACAGTACAGCATTTTATTAAATAAAAATATCTGCTTTTATATCCATCAGTGCAGGGCTTTTCTGTCAACCTACTACAGAGATCACAATGTGGAACTGTCAAAACTCCTACACAAATTGGGACAACCTCTGCCATCGTGGCTGAGACAGGAACTACAGAAAGTAAGATAGCATTGAAAAAAAGTCTTTTTAAAATCTCTTCCACACTTCAGTCATCCTACCTAAAGTCTCCAGTAGCTACCAGAAAGTCTTGTAAAATATACCTCTGCAAAAAAAAGTAAAAGATAGAAATTATTTCCATATGCTGGCATGTGGATTGTGAAAATACATGTGTTTCTTAGACCTCTGGTGGGCCAGATCTTTCTCATTAACGTTTCTGGGCCTGTGGACTTGTGGACTACTGTGCACATATGTGGAAGTTAATTGCAGCTGATATAAGCTTCAGAGATACATGACCTGTCCAATTTCACAGTAAATACTTACATTTTTATATATCAGTTTAAAAGTATTGTGTCTCCTGTAGGTTTTGTAGTTCATTGTTAGACTGATGACAGTTTTTCTTTGCATTGATTATTGTGTCTTGCATAAAATAAGAAAATTTAATGTAGCATAAAATGCCAAGTGTACTTCTGCCATTGGAATCAGCTTGCTAATACCTGAAGTATATACTAATAAGGGTGAGAAGTACAGCCATCATACACGATTTAGGTGTGCACAGCAACAAAACACACGGAGCAAAATCTGGAATCCACAGGCAAAAGCAGTGTAAGCAAAAGAAAAAAAAAACATTTCCTATGATTATAGCCTGTAGTAACAAACCCTTATAATGCGATAAGGGCCTTTGTCCATAATTGCTGCCTAATTTTGCACTGTCTGCAGCAGCAAAATACAGAATGTAGCCTGTATCTGAACAGAAATTTAATTGGTGATGTAAAACACAAATGTTGCAATAAAATCCTTATGAGCAGTATTATACTTCAACAACTGAGCCAAACTGAAGCAGTGCAATAACAGCCTTCACGCCTGGCTTCTATGAGCAGCCAAATCCAGATACATGTACATTGCTGTGAATCAGGAATGTAGCCACTCAAATGAAAACTGGTAAAGAGCAGAAACAGATCCATACTTAGATTGCCTTAATTTGCACCAGTATTTTTCCTTAATTTATTTGCTTTTCAATCTATGCTGTGTGCATTCCAAGAACCCTCAACCTGATCAAAACTGTAGCATCGTGCAGTGACCTTCAGTTTGTCGGCTGCAAAAATCTGTCTGTTTTCCAGGTGAACATATTTGGTATTAAATTTTAGAAATAAGCTTTAGGGAAGAAAAAAAAAAAAAACACAGGTCATGGTAGAAAATTGGTCTCTAATAATGAAAAAACGCAAATATCCAGCCTTACGTTTTTGGTACATTTCAGTAGCACATCTCATAATATCAGTTTAAGTATGAGATATACTCTAATAGTACTTAAAAGTTGAGAAAGAAGACTGTTGAAAATTTCAGCTGAGTATGGCCTTACTGTTTCTCCACTGAACTTTGGCTCTGAATGTTTCTAAAGGCATGAAGGGGTAGTGAATACAAAAGATAGCTACAGTACTAAATGCAATGCTTTTTACAGTAGATATGTACTATTATCATAATTTGTTTTAGGATGACTAGATAAAAACATGCATCAGGTGGTGGAAAAACTTTCTTTGTCTCAGTGCTGTTTTACAACATTTATGTAATCTCATAATTTAAATTTCAAGTTAATAGAATGAAAAGCAGTCTGTTACTCCCTAAATAGAAAACAGATGTTGAGATCCTTACTGTACCTCTAGCTGGTAAACTTTATTATTTATTGATTTTGTGTATGTAATACCTGGTTTTGATAGGCCTGTAAAGCAAAATTCTAGAGCAATTTGCTGTATATAACAATATTCTTTATGCAGCACATTTTTGCTAAGGGAATATGCATGATTAATGAGGAGGACCTACTAGAGTAGACATTTTTAAGATGAATATCTTTATTATTTATTAGAGAGAATGAAAATTTACATTTCATTTTAGATATTCACTGTCATACGGATTTGGCCCAAAAGCTGACATGTCTTAAAACACTCTTATTTGATAAAAGAAACACTCTGAATTCTGAATATCTGTAAATGCAAATTCTCTGCATGCTATGGACAGCTCTTTAAGCATTTATATGGATTTGTTACAAGTAAATTGACTAACTGGAGAAAATACTTGGGTTTTTCATCCTGGCATGACTGATTTTACCATTTATATAACCTGATCAAACATTTAAAATAGATCATCAATCAAACATTTAAAATAGAAGAAAAATGTATAATAGAAGAAAATTGGAAAAATTTTAGAACTATAAAATGCCTGAGATCTTCACAAATTGAGTGCTTCCTACGTGCTGGAGAAGTGAGCTTCAGCCACTTTCATAGTTTAGACTTTGTTTTCAGGAGCTCCATTTCTGTCTTTCTCTGGGAAACCAAGGCCCCAGCAGAACTGGGACAGTAAGTCCCACATGCACAGCCGTGCCTTGAGTGGACTAGGCTTGGTTTGGCAGCCACACATAAAGGTTGTGCTCTGGCAAGAAGTGCCTTGGTGGCTCTCAAGTCCTGGTGGAGGAGCTGTTGTACCCTCCTAGTGCCCTTCCTAAGATTGAAACAAAATTAATGAGTCCCTAGGCAAATCTTCAATGGATTCCTCTGCTAACTTCACCTGGATCAATACTGTGAACAAAGTAACTTGACCTTTTGGCCCTGGAACTGTGTATCCAAAAAGGGCGTGATTCTGGATGTGTGTTAAGTCAGAGCTCCTACTGAGACGCAGCTGCTAGGCATTAGCATCTCCAGAAGAGGTGCTGGAGGGGCAGCTGCTGGTAGGCTAGGTGGGCTAGGCTGAGGCTCCAGAGCAGCAGAGAAGTAAAGGCAAACAGCTAGAGGTCTTTGCAGTTCTGAGTCTGTCATACTGGGTTATTACTGGTTTATACGAAGAAGATATGAAGCCATGCTGTTTTCCTCCAGAACTATTCTATGTAAAGATGTTCTTACATTTAACAGGAAGCTTTAAAAAGCAGAATAACTTTTAATGTGCAGTCAACTTGGTGAAGAATGAAGTCTGAGCAAAGCATGCAGACAAGCTACATGTGTTACCCCCCAGATAACAGGATGCAGTACAGCTGAGTAAGCAAGTCATACAACATGAATTTGCCTGGCAAAGTTTGCCTCTCTGTTTACAACTTCCCTACAATCAGTGTTTGATTTTCAGAAATAAACTATCATTATTAACACTTCTAAAAAACAGTGATTTATCACAACAAATTTATACTTGCTAGTTAAAGTCAGGTGTTTTAATGTGGTTGGTAACACGGCTATGGTTTTTGTTTCCATGGTTGATAACTGCATAAGCAATTCCTTTAAGAAATGTTTGATTATGTGAGTTTCACATTTATTTTCATAAATACAATTCTGAAATTTGATTTCCTCAAATATCTGTGCCATTACAAATCAATGTGTGAGTAGAAAGTGACCATTAGGGGGTGTAAACATGGAGTCTGATATGAATTCACTTAACTATTTGAACAAACATTCCTGAAATACTGTGATATCTTCCCAGTTCTACTTGTGCAGAAAGAATTAGTTTCAATGATTTGCAGACTATCTTGTACAAAATATCCTTTTTCATTGCTTAAAGATGTGAAACTTCCTCAGGAAGAAATTAATTAGATATTTCAGTGTTTATAGATGTAATACTCTTGTCATTCACATTGAATGAAAATTGCTGGAAACATTTTTCTCATTTTTTTTTTTAATAAAAATAGATATTATTCTGATAGTGGCATGATATCTGAAGTGCAACAATAAACTCTGATAAGAAAATGTACTGATGTGTGGAAGTGATTTTTCTGTTTATAAAAGTTGTCCTTTTCCAGGTTTGTTAGCAGCTTGACACTGAGCTACAACACAAGCCAGGAGCATGGGAGCACCATGAAATGTTTTCACAAATGAAAAATATTGCTTATTCTCTCTGAGTGAATGTTACTGCTTTATGCAGCTGCTCATTTTCCTGCTTTTGCTACTCTCTTTCTTTTTTACTTCTTGTGCCAGAAATTTCTAATGTGCTATAGAAACATGTCCAGAGCTTGGCTATTTTTAAGAGAACAAGGAGACTTTATTCAAATTATTTGCCTTGGGGATTCACTAGTGTATTGGATGCCCCTCCAAGTGAAAGCAAACTGCGGCCTGCATGCTGCTGCCAAAGGGATGGAGAAAAATGCATTAGCAATATCAATTGTGGCATACCACTTGGCTGCCTTTGACTCTAGTTCGTACTGAAGTTCCAGCATGTCCGGCACTGCAGCACTCAGTGGTGGCGTGACTTCATTCAGGCCGCGGTAGTCCACTGTTAGCCTCCACTCGCCATTAGACTTTCGTACTGGCCATATAGGACTATTAAAGGGTGAGCGAGTCTTGCTGATTACTCCCTGACTCTCCAGTCGGTGAATCAACTCATGGATGGGAATCAGGGAGTCTCGGTTGGTGCGATATTGCCGTCGGTGCACCGTTGTAGTAGCAATTGGTACCTGTTGTTCTTCAACCTTCAGCAATCCTACAACAGAAGGGTCTTCTGAAAGGCCAGGCAAGGTAGACAGCTGCCTAATCTTTTCTGTGCTCAAAGCAGCTATGCCAAAAGCCCACCGGTATCCTTTTGGATCCTTGAAGTACCCTCTCTTGAGATAGTCTATGCCAAGGATACATGGAGCCTCTGGGCCAGTCACAATGGGATGCTTTTGCCACTCATTCCCAGTTAGACTCACTTCAGCTTCCAGTACAGATAGTTGTTGGGATCCCCCTGTCACTCCGGAGATACAGGTGAGTTCTGTCCCTTGGTAGCCTGATGGCATTATGGTACATTGTGCGCCAGTGTCCACTAAAGCTTTGTATTCTTGTGGTTCTGATGTTCCAGGCCATCGGATCCACACAGTCCAATAAATCCGGTTATCCCTCTCCTCTACCTGGCCAGAGGCAGGGCCCCTCTAGTCCTGGCTGGAGCGTCTGCCACTTAATTCTTGCAAATGAGAGGTAGAGGTCTCTTCATCAGGGTCAAGAATAACATCAGCTCTTCTACTGCCTCTGGGGTACTGCCCCATGGAAACTGGAGCAGCATTTCTCTTAGGAACCCCTCTTCTTGCTGCTGTATTTCCTTTCAGTTCACGTACCCGAGCAGCTAGGGTTGAAGTAGGTACACCATCCCATTTCCTCATATCTTCCCCATGGTCACGCAGAAAAAACCACAAGGTGCCACGTGGTGTACGTCTTGGGTACTCTCTCTCTTGAGCGCGCGAATGCTGATTCTTAGTGGCTGAAGTATCACTCTGTCTAAATGAGGGGGAATATGCTCGTTCCACTCGTTCCACAAGCTTGTCAAGTCCTTTAGACAGTTTCTCCACAGCTGAGACACTGGACTGTAGCGGAGCAGAGAGATTGTCTTCATATTTTTGAAGCTGGCAGGACATATCATACAATGTTGGTCCCCTCCCCTCATCCCAGTTAATTGATGCCAGGGTACTGGCATGTGCTGGTGGTGCACTCCGCACAAATCTACGCCACATGGATGTTGTGCACTGGACTTCATCGGGGTCTTGAGGTGTCTGGGCATTGTCCAAATCACTATAAATCATCTCCCGCACAGCTAATTCCCGCAGATGCTGGAGACCTTTATCTATAGTGGTCCACTTGCCTATTTGATATACAATATCTTCCTTATGGGGATATCTTTCTCTCACAGCCACCAGGAGTCGTCTCCAGAGGCTGAGGGCCTGTGCTCCTCTCCCGATTACTTTGTCGATTACCCTTTCTCTAGAGAGGGATCCCAGCTGCTTGGCTTCATTGCCTTCTAATTGTAGGCTATTGGCCCCAGCATCCCAGCATCGAAGCAGCCAAGTGAGGATGTGTTCACCTGGGCGTCGACCATAATCCTTTCGTATTTCTCGCATCTCACTCAGGGATAAGGATCGAGTGATTTCTGATTCCTTTATGATTTCTGTCTCGTCTTCCTGCTGTTTTTGTGATGGCTCTGCTTTAGAGGTGCCTGCCATTTCCCCTTCTTCCTCCTCCTTAGGAGAGCCTTCTTCCCTTACTAAACGAGCTGACCTCCGTTTCCATTTTTTTGACTTGACTATGGGGGCGACTGATACCATAGTTGGTTGGTCTTTTGGGTCAGCCACATCGTGTGTTACTTGGTCATCAGATTCAGAGACTTCCTCCCTCTCTTCAAGTTGCTGGATGATGTTAAACAGTGTTTGATAGGAATAAGCCAGGACCCAGCACAATGCTGCAAGCTGTCGTTCTCCGGCATTATCAGGGTCAGGACATACAACTCTCAAACATTCTACTAATTTTTTAGGATTTAGCACTTGCTCAGGGGTGAAGTTCAAAACTATTGGAGGAGACACTCGTGACAGGTATCTGCTAACATCATCCCACACACCTAGCCACTCACCACAAGACTGTTTCGGGACAGATTCCCAAGTAAGTTTTCTAAACAATCGACTAATCTTAGAGAGAAAATGAAACTGGTTGTTCAGAATTAGAAATAGCAATACATGGGTTACAGATGGATCTTCAAAATACTCCCAAACGGTTGTAATTAGCCCACTATGAAAGGAGGGAAAGGTACCATTCTTAATATTATTAATAAACTGGTGTCCAGATGAGAAAAGGAAGGCAGTGTAGTTCTGAATATTCTCTGAAAGATAGTTTCCATGGGACCCAAATGATAACAGTGCAGAGCCTGAATTCCAGATTAAAACCAAGGTCAGTGCTTGGCAGCACAGCGAATTAAAAAAAGTGAACACAGATTGTAGCACTTTGTCGGATCGGATATATAGGAGAAAGGAGAATATGACACGGATTGCATGACATAGGAACAAATCTATTATTATTAACAGGGCAATGTACATGGTTACTAGCAAGCAAGCGTGTTAGTTATATGCGTTTAATCAATTCTATTGTTATCTCAACCCTTCGAGCCCCACGTTGGGCGCCAAAAAGGACTGTGGTGGTTTTACCGTACTGGGCAACTAAACCCCACAACCGCTCTCTCACTCCCCCTCCTTTAGATGAGGAGGGGGAGAAGTAAAGCAAAGAACAACTCACGGGTTGAGATAAGGATAGTTTAATTAAAGGGAAATAATTATAATAATTAAATAAAGACTACCATGAACTAACAATTTAACTAAGGGGAAATAAAAAGGGAAAGGGGAAAGGGAGGGGAAAAAAGGAAAATAAAAAGAAGGGAGGAAAACAAACAAACAAAATAAATGAAGGCTATATGGAAGTGCAGAGGAAAGAAATTACTCTCTACTTCCCACAAATGAGCGATGATTGACCACGTCCTTGAAGCAAGGCCTCAACGCACGCAGCCGGTGTTCGAGAGGAGGACCGACGTCTTCCAAACGAGAGCCCACCCCTCCCCTCTTCTTCCTGCTTCCACCTTTTATTGCTGAGTGTGACATCACATGGTATGGAATATCCCTTTGATTGGTTTAGGCCAGCTGCCCTAGTGATGTTTCTCTTCTCACCTTTTGCCCACCCCCTAAGAGGGTTAGAGAAAGGCCTAATACTGTGCCACTGCTGCTCAGCAGCAGACACAACACTGGTGTGATAACACTGCTGTTCCAGCTACAACTGCAGAGTACGGCACTGTATGGGCTGCTGCTGGGAAAGTTAACATTCCAGCCAGACCCAATACAACTAGTTGTGCCAATGCATCAGCCTACACAGATATGAAAGAACTTTTTTTAAGGAGAAATGTCTAAATGATGGTACAAATGTCCAAAGGAAATTTTGCTGTTATCAGTGAAATCAGAACAGAAAACTGCAGTATCTAGCAAAAAAAGTATCGGCAAAAGCCAATTAATATCTTCATATAGGTGTAGAGAATACAAGCCCTATGTTAACAAAATATTATTTTAATTACAGAGAAATAAGGCAGAATATACATTCAGAAGTCTAAGCTTCTTTTCTCATACCCATCTCTATAATCTCTAAGAGTAACAGAAATGGAATAGTAAAGAAATAACAGAAAGGTACTAAGCAAACAGAAACTATCTTTGCTACAAATAACACCTGGCTGACCTCTGGATACAGTTTATCTGCTTTTATTTAATATTTATTTTCAGTTCTTCCAACCCAAACCTCTCCGAGTTCTAAGGCAAAGGATGCCTTCTTTTGTCTCTGGGAACCAGGAGGATGAAGCAAGCATAATAGTCAGCATCAAAGGACAAAGCACAGGAACAGGAAAGGAGTTAACAGGTGAAACCAAGGGCTAAGGAAACCTGAATAGAGGAGGAATTTAGACAAATTAAGGGTGATTGATCTGAAAAGCATATCGTGAGTCTGGTTATTCTCCAGTCTGCTTTCTGTCAAGTTACTTTTCTGTCTTTTTTAATAGTTATTTTCTTTCTTCAGTTCCCTTTTTCTGTTCTGATCCTCTCATTGTCTAGAGAAATTGAGACAGAAAAGGCTTATATACTTTTAATTGCTCAGCTACCTACGTACCTAGGAGACCTGTCAGTCTAGTACTACAAGGTCACTACCAGATCTCTTCCAAAAGGTAGGAGTCTTTCCTAACAGATGTGGCCTAGTTCAGCCATAATGTAGGGGCATCCCATAGCCTTTATTATTCATATCAGGGAAACAGACTCTTTACCCTTGAAGAAACCTGCTAGTCTGTCTCCTCCATTGTCTCATCAAGAATGTCTCTGCTATTAAGTCTCCTGGTAAAGCTCCTTTGTTCAGCTCAATTCTGAACCCAATTTACTCTGGTACAATAAATAAATAGTAAATAAATAAATGTGTGTCTAAATGTTTATACAAACACGGTACGTGTATTTCAGCTATCGACTGCATTCTGGAAGGAAAACATCATGACCTAAAGGCAGGAGCCACTGCTGTCACACTCTTGACAGAGTGGAGATAAGTTTCTGTACGCAAACGGTTCAAGGTGAGAGCAGCCGAGGCTCACACACGGCACCGGCAGGACTGTTGGACGTGGTAGGGCTGCGTAGGTTTGTTTGTCTCCGTACTTTTGTACGGCCCTAGCAGTTATCCCATGGTACTGCCGGACAACCACGCACTCGAGCTGCTGGTGTTTCCACTCCCTGGCACACAACTGAGCCCAAGCAACCCGGCAGCCCCAGCTCTCAACCAAGTTCTAGCCGCCTGCCAGGACCGGCCTGCCATCATTCCTTCCCTTATTTCCCAAGTGATTGCCGGACTGGAAGCGTTTTAAACCCGCCATTCCCCATTCCCTCCTTCCACGTTCGCAGTGCGCAGGCACCGCCTTCAGGTGGGCGCTTCCTGGCGGGGGGCAGGCAGAGGGACAGAGGGACGGCCCGGAGCCGCCCCTCGCCCCTCCTCTTCCTCTGTCTCTGCCTCTTCCTCTGCCTCTTTCTCTGCCTGGTGCGGTCGGCAGCCGGCCGTTGGTGAGCGCGTGGGGCGGCGGTTGGGCCCCGTGCCCCCCGTGAGGGCAGCGGGTCCAGGGTGAGGGGCGCCTGAGGGGAAAATGGCGGTGGCGGAGGAGGTTGGGGGTGCGCTCCATGTCTCCATGGGGGCTGCCGCCCGTGGCTGTCCCCCTTCCTAGGCATGGCAGAGCAGCTCCTCGCTAATTGGCAAAGCTCCTACCAGCGCGTTGGTAGCAGTCGTTGACTGTAGCGAGGAACACGGCGAGCCTGGCGGAGGGGCGCGGCGCGTTGGCGGTCCTTTGACTTGTTGGGTTTTCCCTTAAGCGGTCGGTACTCGGGCTTTAAACGAGTCTTTCTACCTTTTTATTTATTTATTTATTTATTTTAAAGGTTTCTTTATCGGCCCGGAGGCCGGAAGTGCAGAGACGCCATTGAAGTTCCTCTCCCCGCCGAAGAGCCACGTGGCCGGGTATGTGCTGCCCTCAGCTCTTGGAAGGGAGGTTTGGAGCAAAAATAATACCCTCACACCACTTTGCAGTTTAATCGCTATACAAAAACTAGCAGGGTTTCGACTGATCAGCACGGAAATCGAGGTATAGGCTTGATTTTTATTGACTTTGATTTTGATTTATTCTGTTCGTTTGGGTTTTTTTAAGCCATACTTGACTCGTGTGTGGATGCTCATCTTTTACTGACAGAAAAACATAACCAAGAGCAAAAGTGTGCATTGCTATCTGTGCAAGGGGCATATCTTTAATGATCAGCACATTGCTAATTTAGTGAAGTGAGTGCTTAGAGTGATCTGGAATTGCTGGAGCAGGGAGAGGTGTCTAGATGATTTTAATAGTTTTGTTTCAGAGCAGCTTACAACTCCTCGGAAGGCATTGTACTGTTTAGTAATGTTCTCTGTCTTGCGTGTTTTCAGTAGCAATATTAAATTGCCTCTAATTGCCTTTACAGGGGAAAAACGTTCTGGAGTTGTGATGACAGAAGATGGGGCTAAATTCAACGTGGAGTAGTTGTAACTAGAATTTCAAACTTTTACTTAACTGAAGGGTGGATGTGTCTGAGCTTCTAGAATTAATGCTCTTTGCAAGCAGTAGTATTTCTGGTTGTCAAACAGAGCAGGCAAATCCTACTTTTGGGCTAGGTCTTAATTTCACTTCAGACATAAATGAGCTTTTCTAATTAAGGTGAAACCTACAGCCTAGACGTTCTGCAGTCTCTCTCTGCTCTTTACAAAAAGCACAGAGGACCTGGGATCTAGCTTAATGTGCTTGAAATTAGCCTTGACTCTTGCAGCTCTGTCTCAAACACTGTTCACAGTGTTTCAGTATTTAGCAACGTAGACCTGCCTGTCCCTGTGGCAAACGCATCTCTTTCTGATTGTCTGGTGCCCAAACAAACTGGAATGCATGGGCCACAAAACAAAGCTCATGGAGGAACAGGAAATTGCTTGACAAAAGCTGCTAGCATAACAAGCAAGCGCAGCAGGCATATTGGTCAGGTTAACTTATGTTCAGCCTACCCTTATGGGGGTGCACAGCCACTGAGGACCCCTGCTGAAGGGCAGGTACCATGTGTGGGCAGGAGGAAAATGGTAGTACAGCACGTGCTAACCACGAGATAGCAGAGTTCTCCCCGCCTGGTAAGAGCGGTCTTGACCAATCGTATATACACAGGGTTACTGTGTGTGCTTTCTGGTCTTATCAAGAATATGCATGGCGATGAACTGGCTATATGCCATTTACCCTGGAAACCAGATGGGAAAAAAACACAAGGGAACACTATAAACGACAGTACTTTTGCAAGATATTAGGGACCCTCCACACCAGATCACTGAAGACAGCAGATCAACGGGATGCTATGGTGGTGACCATCTCTTGCAATCTGTAAGATCCCTTTGCTTTTATTTCCATACTTTTTCTATTAATTTTTTCTTAACTACCACTTCTCTTTTGATCCACATATAAAAGTAATCTGGTAGACAACATTTGACCTTGTTTGTGTCTTAATCTCACTGTGGGTGAATCACAAACTACCCTACGAGCAATCAGAACAGGACAGCTTTGTCCACAAATTACATTAACCTTATCCCAACTATGTTCTTTTTCTGTGCTGCCTTCCAAAATTTGTCTGCTCCTGCCTTAGGGCCATCTCTAAATTTTAAGCTATTACAATCTCTCAGTTGTTCAGTGGCTATGCTGTCACATGGCTGACCGTACTGCAGTATTTTTAAATCTGATGATGTGCACCTTTTGATGGCTGCTTTTCTGCTGCTAAATAAACTGCCTTAGAAAGGTCTCAAGGAGTATACGTGTAGTCCAAAAGACAAAGGTAAGTTTGGGAAGTCTAGAAAACGCATGTGAACATCCACAGTCTTAATTTCAATATATGCGATTGTGATGCATTCAAATGTATTAATGAGTCAATAAAAAGACATTGAGTTTCACTGAAAGTGTCGCTTCTTCCTTATAAGTGTACTGATAACAAAGACTAGACTTGCCTATGAACTTGGGAATCACTGATGCATGGCTAAACGTGCTTGTTGTGTGGATACACATCTTGGTAGCTGGGCCTTGTATTTGCAGCTCTGTATGGTTTCAGGCCAAAGTAGTGACTGACTGATTCTGTCTGGGAAATATTCCACAGGCCACATGGTCTTAATCAGACATTACTGCTGCAGGGGAGGACAAGTATTTTGAACATAACCAATAGCTCAGTTCTAGTTGTTGAGGGATGTTTTACCTAATGTGGTTTAAAGAATGGGACAAGATCAAGCTTTCACTTCCGAAATGTGTAAGCAAACTTAGTTGTAGATAATTGCAGCTCTCTGCCAGTTAGAACTTCCTGTGGAATATCTTTGTTAGTAAGGAAATCCTTTGCAAATCATTCCAAACTGAAAAATTGAAGTGGATGGCTCTGAAAGAATGGAAACGACGGGGGGGGGAGGGAGGACATCAAGCTAGAACTGAGATCAGGTAGGCACTGCAGTAAATCTAGTGTAGTTGATGACTGAGGGAGTAATAAAATCCTATTTGAAGTGGATGTGAGGGGAGTTGCAGATTTAAATTACAACGTGGATTAGATCTCAGGAAATGACTTAGTGAAGTTTTGGAATAGGAAAGTCTGGTAGGAAGACCAGGGAGCTGTCATCATAGGAAATTTTTTTTAGTACTGCCATTGATGACAAAATAAAGCTGAATGTATATTCTGTGTGGAGCTATAAGTGTTACTACACCTGTTTAATTGGTGGTGTGTGGTTACTTCTCTTTCAAGCAGCTCTGCATACAACCCTATCATATAATATTTCCTATGTAGGATTACAAATCTGTGACTGCCAAATCTGGTAGCTGATAATCACGAGCATGTACTGTGAATTTCCTCTTATCTGAAAGTGGACTTCTGCATTAACGTGTGCTTTCCTAAAAGAAGCTAGCCAAGCTGTTCTAAAAGGGCAGTTACTTGGTTATCTTGAACAAGAAAATGCTAGGTTGCTGGTGGCCAAGAGAGGGCTGCAGCTATGTCCAGAACGAGGTGAGGGCAGCAAGGTGCTACAACCCCAGGTGCAGTTGGGATGGCTGGTCTGTCAGGGCCCCATCATGTGAAATGGTTTGCTCAGGTTTTGAGGTTTGTTTTCTGTGACTGGCTTTGATTCCATGGAAAAAGCCAGATGTAGGCAAACAAAATAGGAAGAAGCAGGAGTAGGGTTGGAGATCAGTTACTCCAGGGATGTGAAAGGCATTGAACAGTATTAATAAAGAGTACAAAATGTAAGAAAATAGCATGAAGGTCTGTAGAGAAGCATTTTCTTTCAAGTTTGCTGAAGTGCTAAGTTTAGGCCTTCTGGTGGCAGCCTTTAGCTATGGCATGCTCGTGGCTGTCTGTGTGTTATCCAAAAGCCTTTCATATCTCCTCTTACCAGGCAATAGCTGCCTTTTTTTGATCAATGTTTCATCAGTTTCAGTGTATAATAAGTTGTTTTTTAATTAGTTGCCCTTTGAAAACCGATCTCTCTGGCTCCTGTAACTGAGGATCCTTTTGCATTAGTGCTTGTAAGTCACAGGAGGGCCATGCAGCTCTCCTGTCAGTTCCCTGTGGGAGCCAAATCACGAGTCACTGGGATTTCCACCTGAGTCTCATCATCGGGGGAAGTAGCTTTAAGATTCTTGGGAACAGGTTGTGGCAGGCAGGACACAGGCTGAAGTAACAAGCCTGATGGCTTCACCTGGCCTCCAGGTCAGATATGTGAACATCTAGTTTGGAGTTCCTTTGCTGTATGTCTAGGATTTACACAGTGGGTTTCAATCAAGGGAGGATTTTTTTTTTTCAGGGTTATGGTCAAATAGAAGAGTTTGAACTCTGATGTTTATTGCAAGTATCTCTTGTGAGAGCTCTTAGAGAGATTATGTAGCCTTTCCAGTGGTAGAAACTTTCTACAAGCATGCAGTCCCCTGCACAGACAGTAGTTAAAATCTGTTTTCTTCGTTGCTGAAGTAATGACAGAGGTATTCTTACGTGAAGCAGCTTTTTCGTTTCTCTGTGGTTTAGGATGGCTTGTTTTTCAGGATTTCTCTTAAAATTTAATTCCCAAACAACTGTTTTTCTAGTTTTCCCATCCATTCATCTTGCATTTTAGCTCTTACCTTCATAGATGCTACTTACTTTTCTGCACCCTGCTCCATCTGCAGTTACATCCAGCAGTTCACACCTCTCCACCTTGTACCCAACCCGGTCTTTTTCCTTTGCAAAGGTAAATACAAGCTTCTTTTTGAATTTGTTCATCCTTGCTTTGTTATATTTGCAGGAAATTGTGATCAGCTTCTGTTTTCTATGGAAAATAAATGGAATAGGACTTGCTGCATGTGAGAAGGTACATAGTTTGGATGGGGTAGGTCTGAAGTCTTAATACCTTAGCTAACTGCATGTGCTGTTACTCAGCACAAAAAAAATCCAACTTTTTTGTTACCACTAGCTTACTGATTTCATGCAGAGTTTCTTGTTCTCCTATCTGCTACGTCAGCCTAATTGTTTTAGCCTTCTAATATATGGTAAATGATGTTCTGTAATTGCAAATCTGAAATCATAACAGCATTATTTTTTTTTTACTATAAATATTGTAGACTTGAAAGTATGAAAGTCCTGTTCTAACACCAAAAAAGGATAGAGTATTTATTCAGGACTGATTTCTTGTTAAATATAAGTCTTTATGGTGCTGTAGTTATTTTTTTTCCAGAAATAAGACAGCTGAGGTTGTAGATATTTTGTATATAATGCCCAGAAAATGGGATCTTGTTTTATCTGTGGTTCAGTGCTTACACATACCATGCCTATACTTTAGAGAGTTGTTGAAAGTCAGAATGTATTTTAAATGAGTTCGTGTGTCAGTGCCAGTAATGCTTCCCTGTTCTTTGATTCTGATGTTTTGTCTCTGGAAGATAGACAAAAACTTAGGAAGTTAAGAGGGACTATGTTTAACTATAGATCTTCAATATTGTGGAAACTAGATAAATTACACGCTGTTTAAGATGGTCATGTAATCCAGTAATAGAAGTGACAAGTGTTTTCTTAATTTATGCTACTGTAAGCAATGTGATCAGCCTGCTTTAACAACAAAACCTCCACAACCAGGTATGAACTAAAAAGTTAAACAAAGGGGAGTGCAGCAAGGGTCATCAAATTCTTAAATGTTCTTAATAGTGTAGGCTAGACTTGCTCATGACAGCCTAACCAAGCACTAGGAATTCCATGGTATAGGACAAACTTTCATCCCTAAGAAAATGTCCTCAGGCTTAGGTGCTTTTTCAGTATTTTCAAGAGCAGCCTTCTTCATTTATGAAAACTGACACACAGGTTACCCAGCTGATGTCCCTGCAGCATCTGCTTGTACATTATGTATAGAAGTTCTAGTCAGTGTGGCAGCTTTTATTGCATACGTTTATGTCGTCAGGCTCAGTGAACAAAAATGAGAATGGCATAACATAAAGACAATTTCACTTTCTTTAGAAACTAAAAAAGGCATGCTGTTTGCATGGAAACTGTAGTGCAACATTTTAAATTCTAATTATTAAAGCATTCTATTAAAAGAGAAAAACTAATGAACTACAGTACTAAATCTAAATGTTTACTCCATTTAGTATGTAATTTCTTCTCCGTATTGTACTTCTGTCGTGCAACTCTTAAAGATTTCCCCTGTACATCACACATGTATTGCACTATGTAGTCTATTTCACCACAAGTCTCAAAATAATGGGTCTTTTATCAGTGGTTCTGAAGTTGACTAGCAGTCTTTCACATAGGTCTACCAGTAGGTGATCATAATACTACAATTTTATGGTAGGTTTTTAAATAATATACTTCACGCTAATCCAATAGTGCAGAATTAGAGAAAACTAAAATCTAAAAGCACCTCATGTATACTATTTTAGCACCAGTTCCAACAAGACATTTAAGCTAGTTGAAGACTAAATTTGAGGTCGGAGAGAAATTGAGGGATAAGTATGCACTCACTTGCACTAGCATTGTCACTTTTTGTATGCAAATAAAGTTGTCTTGGATATTGTTACAACAGCAGAGACACAGAAGCAAACAGAAATGAATGAATGCCCACTTACAACACAAATACAAACATCCTACTTTGTTCACAAAAGGCCACAATACTGTCACAGCTTGAGTGACTGGGGAAAGGAAACACAGGAGAACAGTAACTGGTAGTCACAGTTTGTACCACACATCTGCCATGTTTGTCTCACTGGGGTATTTCATGGCCCACAGCTTTCATTTCGTCATGTTAAGAAGGTTGTTTGTTAAAAATGTACTATGCAGAGTACACTTAGAGGCAGTCCAGTTGGCCTTAGAGCTTACAGATGTAGTATGGACTTTCATGGTTCACTATTGACTGGAGTTAGTCTCAGGCTAACTGTCTGAAAGACTGATCCCAATTAGTGTTGCACTAAAATGGTAATTGCTTCCTCTGTTCTCTGTGATAATACTAGATTGGACATTAGGAAGAATTTTTGCACAGAGAAGGCAGTCAGGTATTGGGTGGGGCTGCCCAGGGAAGTGGAGGAGTGCCCATCCCTGGAGGTATTTAAGAGCCATGTGGACGTGGAATGAAGGGAAGTGGTTTGGTGGTGGGACTCGGTAGGTCAGGCTGGTGGTTGGAGTTGATGGTCTCAAAGGTCTCGTCCAACCCAAATGATCCTGTGATTTTAAGTTTAATGAGGCGGCCATTTCTGAAAAGATAGTAAGTTGTTTAATTTTTGTCTTGACATTACAGTCACTTTTTATTGGTGCATTTTTATAATAAACCATTAAGGTTTTCTTAGCCTGGGGAAAGTATTTGTGAAAGGAATTAACACAGGGAATCAAGATACATAAATACTTTATAAGTCACTGAAAACTGTAGCTCATAGATATTGCTAAATGATATTTAGAATATAAGAGGGCATTAGAGAACATATGACAACTAGTTCTTCATGTAGTATCATAAATTACTATTGACTAATTTGAGCAGTTACTGGATAAAAGATTTTTGAGACTTTTGAGGTTACTGATTTCAGATAATTCGCACTTTTCCTTTGAGACCAATCTGAAACAGTATTGCACCTAAACATGAGAATGTTGTCAAAGTATTACACAAATTACTGTATTGTACAAACTACTGTTTCTACAAACTACCGTAGAAAACAGTAGTTTAAGACTTCATAGACCTTTTCAGATAGGCATTGTCTGAACACCTCCTTGATCTCACTCTTACAGCTGTGGAGGGAAGCTTTGCAGGGAAACTACCTTCCAGCATACTACCTGCTTCACTTGGGAATGTGCTTTATGAACTAAGCTCTAATAATGTTTATCAGGCTAGCTGGGCATCTGACTATTGACACTTACTTTCCTTCTAACACTTAATACATAAAATTACTTACCAAGAATCGCCCTGTTCATGGTCTCATCAGCTAATGAAACATGAGTCCAAACCAGAAAGCTGAGTATAAGATCATAGGAATAATAAGAAACCAGTCAAGAACTGATGAAACAAACTAGACTGAAAATGAACTCTGAGATCTGTAATTAGTTCCAGAAAATCTTGGAGCATAAGTAGCTTGGAGCTTCCCATGAACAGCGAGTCTGAAAGGGACCTCTCCAGCTGGCCTGCTCCAACATTATTCTAAGCTGGAGGTCACTTTTCCACTTATCATAGGTGCATGGTAACTTGTTCACGCAATATAAACTTCCTCAAAACAGAAGGATTTTGTTTGCATAGTAGTCCCTGACTGGAAAGGTTGTGTGTATACAGCTTGGATTTAACAAAAACAGAAACACCACGTGAATCAGGAAAATGTGTGTTTCCACCCACTGTGGGCCCCAGCTGTGTGCACTCTGCTGTTCAAGCTGTCCTGCCTCAAACCTTGTTAATTGAGTTTGGTTTTGATTAAGGACATTCATAGTTTGGTCACGCTTTTTATCCAGGGGACAAAAGATGAAACTTTGGTGTAGACACCTGGAGAATCTTTCACTCCGCAGCCATAGCCCCAGGAGGTCACACCATACACGACCCAGCTTTCCCCTGGGCGTTCACACATCAGCGGTCCCCCGCTGTCTCCTTGACAGCTGTCGACACGTTTCTGTTCCTGGACGTTTCCAGCACAGAGCATTCTTCCTGTGAATCTCCTTTTATAACGCTCTTCACATACCCTCTTGGGAAGTAAGGGGATGGCAGCTTGTTGTAATGTTCTTGAATAAGCCCTTCCTGAAAAGAGGACTCAAGTTACTGTCTCAGTATGATGCTTTGTCTCAGAAACATAAATAGCATTGGATCCAATTTATGCTGTCAATCCTTTTCACTGTTTCGGCATTAAGTGTACTGAAAATAATAATAAGTATTGAAAAAAAAATTGTGCGTTACATACAAGATTTAAATAATAGAAAGACACTTTTTTTAAAAAAAAGCTCAGAGTTTAAGATGTAGCTTTACACCTCATGTAAATCTCACTGGCTTCTGCCAAGGTTTGAATTTATTCTGTTATAAACACACTTTTTGTGACTTTTAGAATATATGCTGTAAAACTTCAATGGGGCGTTTATTTATTTTATTTTATTTTTTTTTCTCTCTAGCTTGCACCTTTTTTTCCGTTGGAAACATGGGAAACTAAAGCTAGTGGAAAGTTTTTTTGTTTTTGTTTTTTTTTTTCCTAAGGTAAAATCCTACTGGTTGTGACTTAAGTATGACTCACATAGTGAGATGAAATTTCAGCTGAAGCACTGCAATTATGTAATTTCTTACCATAATTAGAGGCAATTACTGCAGCGGCTCATGTTTTCTTAAATAGATGCCCTAACTAAACAATACTGCAGAACTTTCAGTGAATTGTGTAAAATGCTAAGTAATGAATTAAAAATGGTTCTTAGAAAAGAAAAACAAAAAAGGAAAGAAAAAAAAAAACAGACCTACAAGTTTATCTCCTTGTAGTACACTGACCTAGACAGCTGTCCATACAGTTTGACGCATAGAAAGAGGAAGAACTGATACTTGGCCTTGCCTCTGCCAGTTCAAGTGAATCAGTGGAACAAAGCAGCAAGTGTGGTTGCTCTCTTGCACTGTATTCAACCTCACAAAAACATGACAGTGAAGTGTGTTTATTAACTTGTAAAATACTTTAGGGAGAAAGACCCTTGAAGAATAATAGTCCTGTATTGACCTAAAAAATGACTAGCTAGTTTATTCCAGAAACCTGGATTGCAGGTTGTATTGAGGCTCTCAAGATTTGGCAAGATCTTTTCTCATATAAATCCAGCTGCTGATTAAAAATGTCAATGGTAACAAGAGAGGCTAAAAATGTTACTTGAAATTCTACTATGTATTTATTTTCTATCCATGCCTCCATCGAAGCAGAGTAATTTAGATAGCCTTTCTCAAGTATCTCTTGTACTCACCTAAAAACCCTAAATATATTAGAGCTGCTAGTTACGTTTGGGGAAGGGGGAGGTGATATGCTGTTATTCAGGGTGTGCCAGGCAGCAAATAAGCCTTTCCTTCATGCTTGTCGATCTTAATGAGGCCATTATACCAACTGGTTTGTATGACATGGTTAATCACCACTTCTCAAGCACAAACTAAATTCACTAAACAAAGCGTTGTCCTTCCTGTTTCAGGACCAGGAGAGAAAATATTTCTGTATATAAAAAGAGTAAAATTGTTACTTTTTAGCATTTCCTCACTTCAAGTATTCAATTTCCTTTTTTTCAGTAAGCAGCCTCAGGTAGCGAGATCAGAGGGTGGAAATCATTAAAACACTTTTACCTGTGTCACCCCATCCTGTGATGTAACAGCTCGGAGCAGTTTTCTGTGGTCTCTCTCTCCATAAGGGCAGGCAGGCAGGTAAGACATGGGTACTGAATCTGGCACACTGTTCCTCCGGGCCCTGTAGCCTCACCAGTGCAATGTCATAGTCGCTGCTGTCAGGCCTGTACTCTTTATGTATCACAATCTGTTGGACTCCGATTTCTTCCTCGTACTCTTCTGGTACCAGCGTATGATAATCTCCCACTCGCACGGCGTAGTTCCGAGTGTTATTGCCATACCTGAGATTGAGATTAAAGCAAACAGGGCTCGCTCATGCAAAGTCAGATTTGATCAGTGTCTTTATTCCTCACATATAGCAATACCAACATTGTTGGTTTTTTTTTTACGAGCAATACTGTTAAGTATTACTTACTATACTATATTACTTGAAGTTCAAGTGTCTCCTAAAGAGTACCTTCTAACTTTTCCTGGCATTCCGGATTAGCTGATGTTCCTTTCTGTATGTTTACATACGCGCAATTTCTTACAGCCATTCGCTTTGACTGGCACTTAACTTCAAAGGTGCAACCAAATTGTGTGTTATAAATGTATTTAGTAAGGGTAACACAAACTGCCAGTGATTCTAACTAAAAGTTGAGTACTTAACATCATTGTAATGCCCTAAATAATTACTGAAATTAAAACAGTATTCAAGCTAGCTTTGTAGGTTGGCTGTGAAAAATCTTGAGGAAGGAAAATGCTCTTTTAATTCTACAGACAGATAACCTGATAAAAACATCTTTGGTTAACTAAAGGTATATTAAGGAAAATGAAGTCTATGTGAATTATGAACACCTATTCTCAAAGTGACAGAAAGCCTTTAAGTCAGATTTGTTATCATGACCCCAATCTATTCAGCATTTAAGACTAAATGGTAAATACTTTAAGAGGTGATTACTGTGGCTGAAATAACATTTTTTTATGCATGCCTTTGGAGATTTTGAATTACAGGGCACACAGCTCTTCTCAGGAAAATGCAAACAAGGGAGTAGTGTTGAGTGTACTTATTTATTTTAAAATCTGGCAAAAGCTTGGATTCTGACTCCAGCTCCTTGAAATTTCTAGAAGTATTTTTTTGTAAGCTTCTTTAAGCCAAAATCAAACAAAAAACACTTGAATGTATCTCACTCTCGTGCATTAGATCTCACTTTCTCATTTCTAGATTAGTCTGTCTCTTGGTTTTTTGGTTGGTTGGTTATTTTTTCATTTTAAAAGCTCACTAAGACCTCAGTTAGTTCTTTTCCTGATAGAATATATGGTACAATTCCATGGGAGTAGAATTAGCACCCAATACATTGTTTTTACTTTTGTTTGCTCTTAAGGATTTTTTTCAGAGTAATAAAGATTGATAGGTCTTAACTAGTTTCTGGAGTCATATGTATGGTCATATTTGTCCATCTGAAGTATGACGTCAGTGAAATCCTAAATTCTGCATCCTTACAGATAATCTGTCAAAATCCTTGCCATCTGCCACCTGCCAGGAATTTCTGCTCTGAAACTGGTGAATCCCCTCTTGGGTCCCTGTTACCACATCTATTACACCAGAAAAGGCTAATCACATTGTACTTTGCTGAGACAGTATGCTCTTCTCAGTCTACCTTTATAGTATCATTACTCTGAGCTATTATGTGGGAGCCAGGAAAAGTACAATCTGGCACTGGATTGAAAACACTTTTTTTTTTTTTTTTAATAGCAGTGCTGTGATCTATTCTGTAACCTTGGGTGAGTTTCGTCATGTTCTCTTTTCCTTTTGCCAACTAAGTGGCTTTCCTTTATAAAGGAGAAAGCTGTGCATTTTCATTAAGTTAAAATATTATGTAGTATAGGCATTACTTCACACAGCTTTTTTTCTAGTGTTATTTCTGTGAAAGTGGATTTTTTGTAACTTGTGTGTCTTTACAGTAAAATGCCTTGGATATTGCTGTGTCAGTTTGTACTGAATAGGTTCTCTATATTTGCTCATTGTTACTTCTGGAAATTTTGAGAAACTGTTATTCAAAGTTTAATTTAACATGTTTACATATGGATACACTTGAAAAGCAAGTTTTCCTGGCCCATGAGAAATACTTTTCAGTAATGCTTTAGCATTCCAAGTTAGAGACTTTCATATAGAAAAGTAAAAATCAGGGGGGAAATATTATTTCTCTAGTTATGCTTTGGACTCTGTATTGGTTGCTTTGGCCATCTTTTTGTCACGGCAGTACCCGTAACGTGCTCACTTCTTTGACCGAAGACATATCACTATGATATACATGTACAAGGCAGTTTGAATACACTGTGAAAACTGAACTGACAGACACCAGTAGTTCGTTTTCTTGTGTAAGCTGATGAATGCATTGGTCCTCTGTGAAACTTGGGTAGCAAGGGAATAAAGCACTCACCTGCAGAACTGGCAGCACAGCTCTGTGCCCCCCTCCAAAGTGGATGAGGGCAGTGTGAGACAGGAAGCTGAATGCTCAGGGTGCACAGTGTGTTGGGGAGCAAGCTCTCTGGGCTGATTACCAGGGCTTTAAACTAGGTTTGACGAGGGAAGGGAGGGGAGCTAAAAGTGACAGAGAAGGGCTGGGGGAAGTTGTCACTGCTGTCACTGTTGAAGATAGTAGGGAAAAACCTCTGAGTTGTCCCATAGGATCATCCGAGGGCTCCTCAGAGAAAGTAATGATCCTGGTACCCCGTCCGGAATCTTCTTGCATCCCTCCAGAGGTAACTGTGCCTGCTGCTTCCCTAATGTGCCTGTATACCAATGTGCGGAGCATGGGAAATAAACAGGATGAGCTCGAGATCTGTGTTCGGTCGCAGGGCCACAATCTCGTTGCAATCACAGAAACGTGGGACAGCTTGCATGACTGGAACACTGTCATGGAGGGCATCTTCCCTATGAGGAAAGGCTGAAAGACCTGGCTCTGCTCAGCCTGGAGAAGAGAAGACTGAGAGGGGATCTCATCAATGTGTATAAATACCTGAGGTGTGGGAGACAGGGGAATTTGGCCAACCTCTTTTCAGTGGCTTGCGAGGACAGGACAAGAGGTAATGGCCACAAGTTAGAGCACAGGAAGTTCCGCACCAACATGTGAAAGAACTTCTTCACGGTGAGGGTGACGGAGCACTGGGACAGGCTGCCCAGGGAGGTTGTGGAGTCTCCTTCTCTGGAGATATTCAAGGCCTGTCTGGACGCCTACCTGGGCAGCCTGCTGTAAGGAACCTGCGTTGGCAGGGGGGTTGGACCCGATGATCTTTTGAGGTCCCTTCCAACCCCTACAGTTCTGTGATTCTGTGATTAAGCAGTCTTCTTTCACTGTTACGAAATGTATTTGCAGAATGGAAGTGATGAACGGCATCTAAGTGTGTAATAGCACTGGGGTGGATTATGCAGTCGACTGAGTGTCACCCCTTGCACAGGGTGAGATTACAAAGACCCTCAGCTGGTGCGTTAGCCAACTTTGTAGGATCTATTTCCCTAGAGTAAATTACAAAAAGGAAGCTGGCACAGAAATACTTCCCTTACTGTTGCAGTAAAATGGCTTTGTATCATTTTCCCTTGAAATATTCTAACTTAAATGTAAAACTCCCACTTAGTATAGGAGGTGGAAGAGTTATGGATTTGTTATTGACATCTCCTTCAGTTATATTTTTCCACTAAAATTTCGTAACTGTGTGATGACATTCCATTTAAGCGTCTAAATGATAGAACTAAGCCCAATAAAATAAGTAAAATTATGGGTTTCTTTGCCAATTAACAGTACTAAATGGTTTGATAATATTTGCTAGTCATTGTTTATAACAATGTTAGTTGCCATTAAAAGCTATTGTAAGTAAGGCTCTGTACCCCAGAATGAGCTGCTAGATACTATCTTTGAATACTTGAAAGTAATATTTTACTGTTTTTTGGTACACATCTGAGTGTTACTATATTAGAATACAAATGTACCAGGTCATTAGCATTGAATATATTTTGCCTGACATAATCTGCCAAAAACATTTCCAAAAGGTCACTGAAAATGCTGTCGTATAATTTATAGATACACTTCTGGCTCTGTGCAGCAGATCACATGGAAGTGCTATTCTAAAATGACATGGTCATTCTAATTTCTTTTTTTATTTCATGCCTCATATTTCTAATTATCCAAAGTTAGTATTTTTTCATGTATAGGTCTGAAAATTCCCTGTAGCTGTCAGAGCCACTCAGGACAAATCTTGCTAATAAGATGGGTGGGTTATAAAAGGAAAAATAGCTTCAAACAGCCTTCTATCTCAATTGTATATATGAAATCACAGAAACTAGTAATGCTACTTTACTGCTGGCAAACAATTTCTACCATCATGCAAAAAAAAAAAATTAAGTATTTAATTTTTTATCTATAATACAGTCTAGGTCACTTTTGTTGTTTAAGCAGTACTCCGATTTCCAGGATACAGGAAATGGTATACTAGACTGTCTCTTGTCTGTCTGTGGCAAATATGTGAAGATGGCATTTGATCTATAGTTAGTACTTAAAAACCTATCCTAGCCCTGAAGAAAATCACTCTGAGAGCATTAGGAAGTTCTGTCCTGTCTGTCCAGTGCCAGCTCAGAACCAAAGGGGTCTTCTCTCTTTTACACTAAACAGTAGTGCATCCATCATCTGCCAGAGCTGCATGCTTAGATTTAAGGTTGTGCTATTTTAAATGAAACATCTGGAGTAAAACAATTTGTAAGCATGTAATGAACAGTTCTAAGAGAGCCTGCTACAGACCCTTGAGTAGCTGAATGAACAGCCACTCATCTTCCCCTTATGTTGGTGTTCAGGAAAGGATCCAAAATGAGCATGCTTTTGGAAGCACATCCTTAGGACTTGGAGCCCCAGTGAAATAAGCAAGCCGTAGCAAAGAGCAGGTAATGTGTTCTCTGGGGAGTGGGGAACTGCAAGGACACAGTTCCAGGCACCGCAGTAACTAGTATCATCAAATGTGTAAAAGCATTCTAATAAAGAGGACAGCTGGGTAGCAAGACCTTGATTTGTACACAGAAACAGTAACTGCCTTCCTGTGACCTTCCTTTCTTGCCTGTGCTTGAAGGTAAAACAACAGAAAGGACTGGTGTGTTTTCAAGCGTCTAATCAAAGGCTTTCTCAAGAGTTTAAGGTGCATCCTTAGTAATCACTATAGAGATGATGAATGGGAATATGAAGCCATTTTATATGAATTTTGATGACAGCAGCTGAAGTGCTTTCATAGGTCCACAGAAACAACTGGAATACCAGTGGAAGTAAGCAGTAATTTTATTGATTTTGACCATATCAACTTGAAATATTACTAAGAAAAATCTTTCATGATTTTCATGAACCATAAGAACAAAAAGAAGTACATCTGGCACTAAGCAAAGGTAATGATTCCTATTCACTTGAGTAAAAATATGCCTGACTCTTCTTTTTTACTTACTAGTGTACAAAAGGAAAGGCTCAAAAGTCCAAAGGTGCAGCCCACTCAGGCCAATTTTGGCAAATTTCCTCAGAACTGCAATGCAGTTCTTCTACACTTTTATTCCAGTCTGTACTGCAATCTTCTGTAGGAGTTCCAGTGAAATAATTGCTGTTGAAAGCTTAAAATATTACACCAACTTCCTTACTTTGCAAGTTGGTGGGTTTTTTTACTACAGTAACTTCATGGCAATGAATTTCTGATGTCAAAAATACTGAAAAGTTCATATAATAAAAACCTAATGTGAGAATCGTTAGTAACAAAACGTTTCTGCAAAAATGTGAAAAGACATTTAGAAAAGCTAGATAATAGTTTGATATTGAGAACTGCAGAAAAAGTTGGACCAAGTAGACCAGATGTGATTTATAACAGAGTGTAAGTTGCAGTCTACGTGGAAAGAAGCTGAATTGGGCATAGTTTGCTCGATACAAGTATCGGAAAATGTCCTAGCATAGCATCTTAGGCAACTATTTCTTTGTTTGACGAAGTTCTATTAAAGGAGATACAATCTTTATTTAGATAGCTGCAAAAGACAAAATTTTGTTTGTGCTGTGAAATAACAGAGTAAGGCAGTTGCTCCAGTCTATTTGTGAAGAATGAGCAGAACTTGTTCAGTCTCACTAGAGTCCAGTTTACAGATCTACTTTCCTATTAGACTCTGCAAAATACGTAATAATGCTATACCTTACAAAGAGTTTTGGGGGACAAGTACAGCTAGTCACTATAAGAACATCAAGCATTTACAAAACAAACAAACAAAAACTGTTCCTGTGTTTGATGTTTGCTCAGTTGTCTTTGCTATAAGCTAAAAGACATAAGCTGCAGTTTTGTTGAAATAGAAAGATCTGTTAAAATATCAGAAGTTTTGCCTATGCTTTTGCATGGAAATGCTGAAGTTTTGAATATAAATCTCTTGGATACACCTGGAATATTTCAATGAATTGTTTTATTGTTTGTTTTTATCTGGGGGCAAAGGATGCCAGTTGTTTTTTTTTTGTTTTTTTTTTTTTAAATCAAAGTTGAACTCTTTTGAACAGTTTTCAATAAGCTTGAACCAGAATGTTTTTGCCTACACCCAGAAATGTGATGTAGTTTGAAAATGCACTACGTTGTTAAAGGGAGACAGACCTACCTTTTAAAGCAGTGTGCAGCAGTGAGGACCCAGCAGCTGCTAATGAGAGTAGCACCACACAAGAGTCTTCCATCACCATGAGAAGATTTCAGTCGGAGGGCAACCTGCCATGGCCAGCCACCCCTGCAGAGAGCACAGACATTGCTTTCAGGGTACAAAAACGGAAAGGTAAGGTAGCTCGTCAGTTACCTTGACTGCAAATCCCATGTAAGCTTCTTTGACTGACAGAACTTACAAATCATGGTATGTATCGAGTAGCAGTTGAGAATACCTCTATATTCCTGCAGCATCCACAATTCCATTTAACAATGGTTGGGATTTGTTAATGGATTGTTTGGACACCCAGCACTCTGAGCACTTCCTCCCACTGCGAATAATTTTAATTTTCCCTTCTCAGATTGCATTCATTATACCAGAAATAAATTCTATGGGTTTCTTGCCCAATACCATCCAAGTCAACAAACCAGAAAATTCCTGTCAACTGGTGAAGGAAAAGAAGGGAAATTCTTGAAAAATGTATCCCAGACTGCTTTCCTGTCTGAGTTGCTATCTGCCTTGTTGATCCTGAGCTGTTTAAAAAAGGAAGCTTACAGATCAAGAGGTCTAAAGCAACGGTATAAACACAAGTAATAGGTTAACACCTTGGTTCAGCCTGCAATCTGCTGTTCTGGGTAGTAGATTTGTGATGCATTATTGCAGGCCTATCAAGACAGGATGGATTGATTTTTGCCAGTTTAATAGATTAGCAAAATACACAATCTGAGAGGAAGAAAGAGGGAAAGGGATACTTCTGTAAGCAACAGCAACATCAGGAAAAAGCAACAGATATTTTCTGACTACTGTCAATTTGAATAGGTATGCAGGAGTACAGGAGCTGCCCAAGATCATCTAGACCAGCATGCTGCATTTTGTGGAGGAAAATTAGGCAGTGAATCGTACCTTCTTTCGGTATAGGTAGTATTTATAGCCTTGTACCATATTCATAGCTCTCTTAGTATAGCTCACATCCTGGTATCAAGATATCCTCTGAAAATAAGTGAAATTACTATTTTGAAAATAAGAAATTTAACCCAATCCAGTAGCTAAACAGCCATAAGTATTTACAGATTTTCAACTAATACTCCAAGATTTTACTAATGAATATTTTTTAATTTCCCACCAAATTTGCCGAGTGTATTTCTGCTTCTCATGACAAACAAAAAAAACCCTACAGTAAAAGCATAAGTTATGCAAACAGCATATGGCAAATAGATGTCTTAGAAGCTTTATATTGAAAATGATGTTTCTTTACCAAATATTTACCGTAAAGAATTTTTCCCACCAATTATTCGCTTTTGTCGGCGGTGTAGTAATCTCAATCCACAAACAGAAGCAAGAGAATCTAAACCAGAAACAGAGATGGAGACAGTGTTAAACTTTAAAAAGCATCTATTTTGCAATGAGAGTTAACTAAAAAACACTACGTGTGTTTCATGACAGTTCTTATCAACCAAATTTTGCTCTGGGAATACACACTGAATTCTCTCAGACTCAGAAATTCTTTTTAGCTATTATTTTAACTGTGATCAAAGAGCAATTTACACAGTAGTGCTCTGCTTCTCAAGTGTACATCTGGACTTACTCCTAGGACTTTCTATGGGCTTCTTTCTTTATTATCCTCATGAAAGTGTAAGCGGAACTTGATGCACCACATGGGTCTCAATCCTCAGCTGAAGATATGCTATACCTTGAAAAGCTGTGAGGAGCTGTCTAGGCTTTTGCATTTTCATTTCCCTTGTACGTTTTAATAAACATGGTTGCAGCAAATTATGGCAGACAAATGCCTTGTCTGATTGGAATAGTCTTGATTCCATTGCAGTGCTGCCACTGCAGTAAAATTACTGAAGTAATTTTACAGCAGTAAAATTAAACGGTGAAGGCAGACAATTTCCTTCCAATTGTGTTTCTAGAAATTCTTATATGTAAGTATTTCCTCTATAAGGTTGAATTGCTTACTTCCATCTCTTCCTATCCCAACAGATCCCCATCCAGTTCCCCATCCAAAGTTGTTTATTTATCACTCAAAAAGGCACTTCACCTTTATTGCTGTTCCCAGGGGTCTTCTTGCCTGGGTGGTCACAGATGACCCCCGCATCCTCGCTGTGACGGCAGTTGTGTGTTCCAATGTCCTGCTTAATGCAGTCCACCAAGGATCTCTCGTTTCCAGTACATTTCACGTTATCTGCATGAATCGGGCCCTTGCCCTCCCCAAAATATGCCATTGTCCTTGCTCTAGCTGGACCTCTGGAACCAGAACATAAATGTGTGTGTGTATATATATATGTGTATATATATATTACTTAAAACATTTTGAGGCATTGTTCTACACAAATGAAATAGAGTATCAGTAGTGAAATGAAGATACCAAGGTTTTATTCCAAGTCATGTCACTGATTTACTAGATGACAATTTCTCTTACTGCCTCTGTTACTCTGGTAAGTAGGAAAAATAATAGTAGTATTAATAATAATAACAAAATTGCTGTACTTCATTATTGTTTTAAAAGTGCTTTTATGTCTCTAGTTAAAAGGTACTATGCCAAGTATTTTACATTGGAATGGCATTACAAATATCTACAATAAAGCAAAATATATGAAAGCTGATTTTTCATAATTCCTTTAATCCTTATATAAAAATCAGCATCTGTGAATGCTAAAAATATATTTTTAATGGCTTGGTTACCTGAGAAAGACAGACTAGTTAACTAAGATAGTATATTTGAAGTGTAGTAGGAGCCACGATTTACAGATCTATTAGTTGTTAATAGTTATTAACATATTTTGTTATCGTGAGTACAAATCACATCATTTTTAAAGTGCACTTCCATAGTTAAATTCTAAAACTGCAATGTAATTGGATAAAGGCAGTGAAATGTAACTATTGCAATACTTATGTAAAAAAAAAAAAAAAAAAAAAAAGTTAGCGATGACTGTAGTGGGTTTACATGGCAAGGTTTTGGTACCAGGTGGCCATAGGGGTGGTTTCTTTGAGAAAGATCTAGAAGCTGCCCCATGTTTGGGAAGGGCCCCATTGTTTTCCAGAGGTGAGCCAATAAGCGATGTTGTTTTGCGCCTCTGTGAGAGCATATTTAAGACAGGGAAAAAACTGCTGCGCCACACAGCAGCCGGGAGAGTGAGAGCAGTGAGGAACAGCCTTGCAGGCACCAAGGTCAGTGTAGAAGGAGGGGGAGAGGTGCTCCAGGCGCCGGAGCAGAAGTCCCCTGCGGCCTGTGGTGAGGCCCATGGTGAAGCAGGATGTCCCCCTGCAGCCCATGGAGTACCACGGTGGAGCAGGGTTCCACGCTGCAGCCCGTGGAGGAGACCACGGTGGAGCAGGTGGCCCTGCACCGACGGAGGCTGCCGCCTGTGGAAGACCCCTGCCGGAGCAGATTCCGGGCCGGACCTGTAGCCCGTGGAGAGGAGACCACGCAGGAGCAGGTGACCTGGCAGGAGCTGCTGCCCGTGGGGGAGCCAGGTTGGAGCAGTTTTCTCCTGAGGGATGGACCCCGTGGTACGGACCCATATCTGGAGCAGTTCTGGAAGAGCTGCTGCCTGTGGGAAGCCCACGCCGGATCAGTTCATCAAGGACTGCATCCCGTGGGTGGGACCCCACAGCACAGGGGACGAGAGTGACCGAGAAGGAGCGGCAGAGAAGAAGTGCTGTAGACTGACCATAACCCCCATTCCCCCGTTCCCCTGAGCCGCTTAGGGGAGGAGGTGGAAGAGGGTGGATGGGGGGGGAGGTGCTTTTGGTTTCTTTCCTTTGTTTCTCACTTCTCTAGCTTGTTAGTAATGAGCAATAAATCTTACTATCTGTCTTCTTATGCTGAGTCTGTTTTGCCCGTTACAATAATTAATGCATGATCTTCTCGTCCTTATCTCAACCTTTGAGCCCTTTTCATCATATTTTCTCCCCATTCCTCTTTAAGGAGGGGGAGTGAGAGTGGCTGTGCTGGAGCTCGGCTGCCCACTCGAGCAGAACCATGACAATGACAAAAAAAAGACAAAAAAAAAATGTTAGTATGGTTTGAGGCCATACAAAGCAAGTAAGGGTTGTCCAACAACTAAGTGTTGAGTCAGTGGGAGCAGCGAGAATTAGTAACATAAAAAGGGATAAATCTATTTACCAGACAAACATTGCTTTTCCTTGACCATATAAGTAAGTCAGATTTGTGGCACGTTTCTGCAAAACTATTTGTCTCATTAACGCTGGATTTCTGCTAGATAAAACTCAAAGAATCCAGCCCTTAATTGTCTATATTGATATAATTTAATTCATAACATAGAATATATTGTAAATCAAACATGGAAGCAATACATACAAACTTCCTCCGTTTCTCAAACTTGCACATAGAAAGCCTTGCCTATGTGGATTTCATTACCATGTATTGAAGGGGACAGGATTTCTAAGTAGCAAATGTTATTTAGAATTCACAAATTGTAAAAAGCCAGGAAAGCGAAGCATGATGCTTATCTCTCAGAGATAATACTACAAGGTCAACTGTCCTTAGGCATTTTTAATTTCCATGGCCACCATGTATTTACCAGATAATCCAAAGCCTTAACTGACTTTGGAACCAGTATAGGACAATCTTTGTCTAATGAGTTTAGGATGATATAGTTTGTCAGTCACAAGCAATGTGTCTCTTATTGCTCCAAATATCTTCTCTTGTGAATAATACTTTGATTATAGAGAACTATGTCCAACTCCCTGATGCTGAAGGGCAGCTGAACCATGTATGGTTTTACAAAATACTGGGACAGCACAGGCTCTCCTGGCAAAGTCTTAACCTGGTTTAGGTATCTCTGTGTCAGAATACAGAGTTTCTGTGTCAGGGCATTGCTCTAAAGTTGCTCCTTTGTTGTGAGTCACCACGGTAGATTTAGCCTTTCCCAGAGAAGTAGATAATTGCCTGTACAGACTTTGCAGGCGCTGCCTCCACTGGCTAACCAGGCAAACCTCAAAGAATACTGACATGTATGAGGTTGCATATGTAAATATTATAGGTGAAAGACACAGAGAGGAGGAAATTTAGCATATGTGGATAGCAGTCATGCGTTGCCATGAATTCAGTCATGGACTTGTACTGCATAGACTGTTGATACCTTTATATGATAGCTATCTGTCTCTTACTGTGCCTCAGTAATCTATCAGTTTGCTGGTAATTGCTGAGAAGTATTGTCCGTACCCATTCAACGAAAAACAAACGAACAAAGCTGCTTAAGAACATCTACCAGGAAACAAATGTAAAAATCATGCCCAGGGAGGTGGTGGAGTCACCATCCCTGGAAGTCTTCAAAAGACGTTTAGATGTAGAGCTTAGGGATATGGTTTAGTGGGGACTGTTAGTGTTAGGTTAGAGGTTGGACTCGATCATCTTGAGGTCTCTTCCAACCTAGAAATTCTGTGATTCTGTGATCATGGTGTCCTAAAGCAAGGAGTACAGATTAGTAGAGTAAATTATTTCATAAAATTGGGAAGGATTTAAGTGTAAAAGCGTTAAAAGTCCTGTGCTTTTTACATGCTGGAACATGATCTTACAAGTGTTTTTAGACCACCCTTATCGAAGGTGTGTGTGTCATGTAATTGCTGCTTGCCAAGACAGCTATCTATGCAGGAATGACCATCAGAGAAATAACCTTGCTTGCTTGGATCTGTCCCTGGAGAGAAGGTCTTATCCTCCAGCTTTTCTCAGACACAAGACCATAGACAATAACATGCTGAGCTCTTCCAAAGTAGTATTACCATTATTAATAATGCTGCTAATGAGGAAATCTAGTTGATTTCAGAGGAGCAATTAGCCTAGAAGACTTCTATTTCTGTATTAGATCATTTTTGGAGCACCAATGGCAGGATATTTGTTTATTTGGGGGGTTGCACAAGTGTGTGTTCTTATAACCTTATCCTAAATGAAAGGAATACAATTTTATTGAATTCTATTTTTTTGTTACCAAAAAAAAGGAGATTCTAAAACTCTATTTTGCTCTTCGCTCATTCTATCAAAATACTATTTGTATGCTAAACACAATCACATTGTAGATAGTACTTGAGAAATGTGCTGCTAAAAAATATACTTTATCCTGCTAAAAAATATACTTTGACTAGTTTACTATTATTTTTATGTTTTCATGACTTCTTAGCCAACTAGTAAGGCTCTTTTCTTTTTTTTTTTTTTATGTTTTCCTAACATTAATCCCAAATTTGACAAACCAGCTTAATGAGGCATCTTTAAAACTGGTATTGTTTTGAACCTAGGGATTTTGCCAACTCAAGGATTCTCTTGCTTCAGCCTCAGAAATGAACTCTAATAAACAGCTGAGAATTTTTCAAAGCAGGATTTCATTAAATAAATGTACAGATGACCACTGACATTATGAATAATATATGCAGGAAAAATTCAGTCTATGTTCTCAATCTTTACCCTTTGTTTACACAGTTCTTCCTTTTTAAGGCAGTCATTTCTCCCATTTGTAATAATAAATACGTAATTTTTTTCAAAGAAATGTAATGCAAGGCCAAGTAGAAAGATTCCTCAGCAGGAAAGACTTGGGAACTAAACATAGCATTGTAAAGGGAGTTAAATGATAACGTTTAGTTCTGTGATCAGTCTTAGGAAAACTAATGTCAGCTTCAGTGTTAGGTGCTTTTTGAGTTCCTCCCAGGAAAGGGTCATCGTGTTTATTACTAAAGAAAAAACATTCATCAAAACCAAGTTCAGGTGCATGAATGCAGTAGCTCCAGTCTTGCTTTGGAACAGCCAAGTCACCACTAAATATAATTTAAACTTCAACAAAAAGATCTGTGCATGAGCTCCTAGGCCCAGAAGCAATTCCAGCTCATCATTGTACTTAACAGCACAGTCAGGTTTGTGGAATGTGACTGTCTAGACACAGGGTCACCAAGATCCAGTATTTCCAACAAGCTCTCCCAGTTTCTGGAACCTAGTTTTAGATTTCTAAAATTTGTTTATCCTTAGCCCTTCAGGAATCACGTATCTTGTTGTATCCTATAATCTTAAATCCCTGTTCTCACATGACAGAAATTGAGAATCCATCCAACTGCCTACCTCTGCAAAAACTTAAAGCAGAAGGTGGGGATAAGTGATTGAGTTTGGTCATCTGTGAGAGAAACATAAAAGGCTAGAGAGGCCTGAGGATGGAGCAGACCAAAGAGATGATTCACTCAGAGATAATGCAAGTTAAGTTTTGTTGTTTTGAAGATATAATCTACTACTACTTATAGTATAAATGTTTTTCTAAAAGAATACCAAACATACCACTTTTAAAATGTATATGTTATGTGATGAGACATAAATCTGTGATACTGAGTTGCATAAACTTTGTTAGATACAGCGATTATGCCAAACATAAATTTTAGAAGACATATATTATGCAACAGACGTAATTTGGTGATATTTGTTTGCATAAACTTAACATTGTTAGATATGGCAAACAGATAACTTGAGAAACAGCTTAACAAGTTTTCTTACTTGTACCCAAGCTGTCGACAGACTACAGCTGCATCCTTATCAGACCATCCATCATCACAAATTGTGCCCCACAAACCATTGATAAAGATCTCTACACGTCCTTCCTTCTTATTCTCACCATCCATCAGCCTGATGGGAGGACCTGGGAATAAATTACAGCTGTCAACCCACAACAACAGAAGCAAGAACTAGTACTTTAAGTAATTACATTCAGCATACAGGGTCAACTGATCTTTATGCTCAGCAAGCCTAATGTTAGCTGATAAAATAGTCACGTATTTTTCCCTAGCTGACAAAAGGAAGGAGTTTGTACAAAGTGTAAGGCATTATGAAATACTACTGTACTCCCTGTGCTTTGAACTTCGTAGTGCATAGGGTATAGGGCACTTGACCACAGTGGGCACAGAACAATTTTCCCTTTAACGGCAAAGACACCTGAGGTGTTTTTGTTGTGGTAGCCATCCATGGGACACCTCCTTGCAAAAACGTTGTGGATAAATGTAACAATACCTTAGTTCATAAATCCATTCTCAGACCAGTTGCTACCACTTGTCTTACCACAATCTCAGCGAAAAAGTACAGCATTGTGCTGAAATTCAGTTATTACTTATTATACATGCTGTTCTGTAGCGTATTTTGTATGATAGCATAATGATCTACTGTGTGTTATTAACAAAGTGTGATTATTTTTCTAGCATTTTAAATTGCTTATTCAGATATGTTCATAATACAAAATCTCACTCATGGATCAGTCAGACTTGATTAATCATGATTTGTTCAGTGCTCAGCCTATAGTTAAATTTTGAATCATTAAGTGAAGTACGTATTTGATTCTTACTTACATTAAGACTCCTTTATAGTAGGCAAGTAGCCTTAAAACAGTTATGAATTCCTTTGAGGTCTCTTTATACTGTTTAAGTAAGAATCACATTGTGAATCTTCTACTATGCCATCTTTATTGTCTGATTAGTATTCCTTATTTTGAATAATTGGTAAGGTTGTCCTTCATCCTTCTAATCTATTCCAAATCTCTTCTAACACTGTAAGGATGAGAAATTAATTAATTTTGCTCTTAAATAAAAGCCTATTTTGAGATACGTGCATTTGAAATTTAATTCAGATTAATTTAGGGCATGAATTACCTTAATCTGGTGCAGAGCTGGTTTAATCTGGTTTAATTCACTGATTAAATTAGGGGAAAAAAGAAGTCTTTTTGCTTCAAATGTAATTTAAAGCATATTTTTCTCATTGGAGTTTATAGTGCCTGCACAGTTACAATTGTTTGCTTCATCAACTTTCTGTTTAGTTACATTGTCAGGATCTTATATACTAAACAAATGTTGTGGGTTTTATGGTATATTGTATTTTTAGTGTCCCTTAATGTCTGCATTTCCTCAAGTTATATCATCTACTCATATTTTTCCACTGAATTCATTCTTAAAGGGAGAAAAAATGCTTTTTTCATGTGCTGGAAAGTAAAGAGCAACAATAGAGTCTTTGTCCCCTGTCCAGTCAGGAAGCCTTTAGGAAATGTTAGACACACCATATTCATTTTGTTGTTGAAATGATGTGTTGCACTGGAAGAGTATGATTTAGGTATACACTATGGTACCCAGCTAGAGGCATGGGATATTCACAATACAGTATATCTGTTTTATTGTTAACTCATCAGCCTATGTTTTAGCATGTATTTATTTATGAGCACAAAATTAATATGACTTTCTGGTAATGGGGATGTGAGAATGTTACCATATGGATGCATTTAACTGAACCGGACCTCCTTCAGCTAAGATTACACTTTATAGGAACTTGAGCAAAGCAGCACAGATGGTTTGCATCTGTAAAGGCAGCAGTGATGATTTGGATTCTTGTTATTTTTGTTCTGAGAAGATTCTTTCTACCAAATATGATTCAACATCATCTATACATAATGGAACTGTACTGCAAAATAAAACATCCATTGGATTCTTAAAAGGCTGTAAAGAAAAAAAAAGTAGAAGGAGGGAGAGACTAGAAAAGTGCATGTGGAAGTGCAGATTGTGCACTTCCACATCTTTTTATTGTGCATATCTGATACCCATAATTCTTGTTTGATTTACATCTGTAAGGATGTAATGCTTCTCACCCTTTCTTCCTGCTCCCTCTGAATTTGCCTTCTTTCTCTGTAGCTCTTTTTTCAGACTGTCTGTATGTAAGGCCATAGGAGGATATACTATTAATTTATATTTTTCAATGTACAATTTCCTCTCCAACTTTTGATAATATGAGGCAGTTCCTTAGAACTTGGAGAGTGCTGAGTGCAATGCAGAGTATCACTGGGAAGGGCTGAACAGTTCTAAAATCCAATGAAGATAAAGATTTAGAGAATCTAAACAGGACCACTGGAATCTGACTTTGCTACTTTACAAATTCATGCTGATCTCTCTCTACTGTTTCCTTAGGATCTTCAGGAAAAAAGTGAGCTTTTCCCTTTCCTCATCTTAAATTGAGTACTTCTGCCAAACATTAAGATTTTGGGGACCCTTTTAAATACACTGTGCTTTGCTTGGATCTGTACCCACAGCATTACTCCCATTGCGATGTTACCAAAGATCTGCCTTACCAAGCGAGAGCTTATGGCTGTCATTATCTGGGTAGCAAATGAGTCTGATGTCCTCCTGATGGCTGCAGTCATGCTCTCCCCACTCTCTCCTTGAGCACTGCAGGAGGTTTGTCTCCTTCCCTGAGCAACTGACATCATCCAGCCAGATGGGAGCAGAATTCCCTTCTGAGTAGCTCTCAGGCACGCTTTTTCCATACCTGCGTAACAAACACATGTACGTAATGTTTGGGTCCACGGTGATCAAAGGGCATGTGATACTTCAGCACTAGAAAGGAAATTAATTGTTTCTTAAGAAGTAAGGATTTCTCAAGCGTAACAGTGGACAGTATGAACCATGACAGAGCAGGTTCAGTTAGCATTAAAATCAATGAGAGCACTATATGCTTGTTTCCTGATAATGCGTATTTTTAAGGCATTACTGTTACATTGAACCAGACTTGAGAATGTATCACCTTTGATTAAGGCTTCTGTTCAACCAATTACACATCTGTCTCACTGACTTTGGGACTTAGAGCATGTTCTTAGTATCATATATACATGTTAACGTCAGGGTCTTGGCTTTTTTGAATGTGATCTGACATAATATGAAGGCACAACAATGACTACCTAGTGAGAGTGTATCTTCTAACCACAGCCAGCGTAAAAAATAGTTAAGAATGAATGCATGAAACTAGTGGGAATTTTTCTAAAATATATTTTTCAATACATAACAGTGTCTCAGGGCTGGACTGTGTTGGTTTTTTTGAGCTAGATCCACAAGGACTTATACCTTGTACGTCTGTGATTTTTGAAGACTGTTCCATGAGCAAAGATGTTGAAGAATTGATCTTTTTTAGGTAAAGTAGAACACAACAAATTTATTATTCTCTGTGGATCACTTAGCCAAAAAGATGATTGTAAGGATCTCAGTGAATAGAAACTGCTGAACCATAGACTGAGCTGAAGCTTTTTGTCCTACCTAAACTGAGGCCATAAATATTTGATGGAGACTAAGGGAAGCAGGCTTTAATGGATCATAACTCAGTAGTTTCTAGGAAGCACTCAGCTAATATTAATAAAACAGCCTCTTGAAGAATATAGGGTTCATGTAAATGTCTATCATCATTGTCAAGTCAAAGAGTCAGATATCTAATACCAAGTAATCTTACTTAAATCCCAGCTGCCGGCAAACCACCTGTGTATTCAGCTCTGTCCACCCATCATCGCAGATTGTGCCCCACTGCCCAGTATAATAGACCTCCAGGCGTCCCTCATGACCACCTTTCCCACTTGTTAGCCTTAATGCACCATCTGTGTCATTAACAAGTAAGGAAAAACAAAAACAAGAATCAGTTTTTCTTAGGTCCAATTATTGTTCTGAAACAAAATGAATAGCATCATATTTTACTGTATCTCATTATTCGATTACTAAATCTAGTGCTGGTCACTGAATGCCACTTAATGAGAAGATGAAAGAAATGCCATAATGTGCCCAGGTTGTTGGGAAGTGTTGCGTAATGCAGTTGCTTAAGAGCCAGAGAAAAAGTGTGAGATTTTGATCCCCCAAGCCCTTATTACACACCAAGTTCACAGGAATGGGTTCTAATTGCGTGATGTCATTGTACAGACACCCTATCATTTTCTTTGTATATTCTGCTCTTTCCCATTGCTTTTATGTTCTACTCTTACTGATAGATGCGATACATGGTTAAGGCATGCCCTGTACAGTAAGTGCCAGTTAGCATGCTGCAGAAGAACCAAGGCTTTGTGTGGAATAATGGTTTTCTGTACCTCTAAAATTTCCACAGGCAACAGCCAGCTCTTTTTGATACTGCCACAACATGTTATTACTGGGGCGGGTTTGTGCAATTGCAGACTTTAAAAATTCTCTCTCCAGAGACAACAGTTCTGCATGTGTCACTGTTGTTCTTGTGTGTTTATTGGTAATTGAACTACCTGCAAGAGGCGTACAGGAGACACCAGCATCTTCTTTGTGGCCACAGTTGTGTTCCTGCCAGGAGCTTTTTGGACACTGTTCTATAGATAGCTCGTTTCCTGTACAGCGCACTTCATCCAGCAGCACGGGGCCTGAGCCTTCTCCAAAGTAAGCCTGGCTCCATGCCTTGGCAACACCCCTGTCAAAATGGAACAAACACCGAGTCAAGTACAGGCAAGCTGAAGAGTCTTGGATGCAGTGGGAACAGCTAAAATCTTGCATATCCAGCTTCTAAAATAGCAAACAGGACTGCCTGAGAAGCTGCTGCTCAGGTAACCAGCTGACAGTGCAGCCCGTTTTATACCTTTACTGCAATGTCATTCTGTGCCCAGCTTCCATCTCAGCTTCAGTTCAACTACAGCTGAACTTAAGCATGCTGTTTTGACATTTCCATAGTTTGAACATGCTTTTGACATCAAATTCCGTTGTTTCATATTTACGACACTTTCCTTTTCTGTCTCTTAATTTTTAAGAATAACATTCCTAAAAAAATATTGTAGATTTACAGATGGGTACAAGGCTTCCACTTTTAATTTTCATCTAATATTTATATGCGGTCATAATAATCCTATAGATTCCTACAGCAACTTTCATGTGTTAACCTCAAAGCATATCAAACAAATCTCAAATACATATCTGAAGCAGCTAAACATGACTGTTCTCCATTTAGTCATTTAAAAACCATGGTAAAGAGATCATAAGTGAATTGACAATGTCATAAGGTAAATTAGTTGTAGAAATAAGAACAGCAAACAGACCAATAAGTACCCTTATGCTTGTTATACGTGTTATGTCAGCACAGGGGATTTTGAGCACAAAAACCTACATAAACTGAAAACACTCCATTGGTTCAGCATTACAGAAATCATGCAATGTGGAACACTTTATGATCTATCAGGATTTTTCCACTTCTATTTGTTAAGATAAAATGTCTTTCATATCTAAATGATTTTTAATGGTTTGTTTTCCTTCCACTCAATGGTTTCTCCATTCATATATCCAGTCTTGTTTTTATGCAAGTGTTTTCAATATCTGTCTTATTATGAATATCGTTGCATAACACCTAGCAGGAAAGGTATATTCAGTTTATACTGAAAATGTGACAGATCTTGGCTTTTTTGTTTCAGACTGTAGTCATTCAAACTCTTAAAAGGCTTTTGCAAAGGTGTGTCAGAATTGTCCATTGCTGTGATCTTCTCAATGTGAGTTGCATTAGTTCATGTTTTTAAGGCAATGCTTTATTGATCCGTATATGGATTTAGATAGGTATGGGTTTCATTTCTACTGCTTTGTATAAAGCTATTCAATCTGTTCTCTCTTTTTATAGGAAAACAATACTAAATTTACAGTTTGTGATCATACAAATTACTGATAAACAGTAAAAGGGGTATGGGAAAAATAGCAACAATAAAAGGCTTACAAAAAGTTAAACCAAGATCAGAAAAAGGTTCTATGAAAAGGAAGGAAGTAGGAAGTTGTGGTTGATATCATGTAGATGATATGTGCCCAGTAAATAAAAGCACATATGAGAAAGGTAAATTAAATAATCTGTGTTTTGCATTCGTGTCTTTTTTTAAATCTATTTGTTTTTCAAATTGTTAAGCTGAAGTGTTAAGCTCAATCTTAAAAGTGCTGTGACTTTTCAGACTGTTTCTCTGATGACCAGATGCCTTCTTCAAGTGGTGGGGTGCACAGAAAATAGCAAAAAGCAAGTCCTATTTACTCAGTAGGGAGATGAGCTGTGATCTGCAATTGCTTCAGAGAAGTAATTGAGCAAAACAAAAATATCCTCGAGCACTCAGCAAGTAACATTTTAGCAAAACACATTCTGCCTTCTTCTGGGAATTTATCAGGGCAAATTAGTAAATTCAGTCTGAAGCTAGTACCTCTAGTACCTTTTTTTTTTTTTTGAGAGACAGAGGTTTTTAATGAGACATTACCTTTTCTTTAGAATGACCTTTCTAATTCCAAATAACATATCAACATGCATGGTCATCTAATGATGATGATCCTACCATTAATCATATACACAAGAGGGTTGAGCTGACATTACACAATCTTTACATGCTACTAATACCTGTAATGCCTTTCTTTGCCTTTTTTTTTTTTTTTAACTTAGTCTTCTACATAAACCTTAGACTTAAAAGGAAAATAAACTAGGGAAAAATGGAAGTCTGGAGTCAAAGGGGCATGTTGGTTCCCACACAGCTCACCAGTAGGTTTAGAAGCTTTTTAAGTACAGCACAGATCTCAGCATTTTGAGCTAATTTGCATGGCACCAGCAGGAGTACACGGCCTCAGTTTCAGGTTAAAAAATGAATGCACTCTGTGGGCTACCAGTTAACACCATAAAACTTGCTGCCTTCACCACCACTTCTTTTAATTCTTCATAACTCCAGCAGAGTTTTGCAGGTGAGTTCTATCCCAATCTCCTCTACAATGACCTGTTTAGTTCTCAGCCCAGGCTGTCTCATATGTAATCTCCTAGTCCTCCTTGGTTTTATATCTTAGTATCATTTCTGCATCTTGCTCCTCATTCTTTCCCTCTCCAACCCATCTGCCTTTCATCCCAGTTGTCCCCGTCTCCTTTGTCTGTGATCCAGCAGTTCTCTTTGCCTCCCAGCTCTTCAGCATCTTTCCTCATGCACTGGATAGCTATCCTCTGTGTGGTACCAAAATCACCCCCAGCTGTTCAGTAGAGGGGCAAGAAAATCCTGTTGTGCTGCTATGACTAGATTATGGACCATGCTTAGTTCAGACAGAATCGCTTGCAACTTCAACTGGTATCTACTTCAAAACTTCAGACTGGTATCTACTCAGTGCATGCAAGCTGACAGTTTTCAGAGGTTCGTGACTTAAATCTTCAGAGATTCTCATGGGTAGGCCAAAAAGATTATCCTTTCTGACAGGAGCGGTGCTCTCACTCCAAAGCAAGGAGACTGTTAAACTCTTCAGCTGAACGGAAATGGATGAAAAGATTGCAACAGTAAAAGCAACTTCCTTGTCTTCACCTAGGGATTTTGATTGCAACTTTTCTGAAATTGTAATGCATGTTCAATAAAAAGTCAGAATTTATTCTGAGAAAGATCCTTCGTCTGTCTTACAGACAAAACTGCATCTATCACATAACACTGGAAATTGGATCGTATAAAACAAAGTTCCAAGGACTTGAAAGTATTGGCACTGTACCTGATCTTTCTATAAATAAATGTAGTTCCTGCTTTGAAGAATAAGTGCAATTTTAAAGGACTATCTTTGGAAAAGTCCAGGCTATGTATATTACTACCTTCCCTGCTTTGCTGCTGGAGTAGAAAACATGTAGAAAAACAAACCCAAGGCCAAGCTGCCGACAGACAACTTCAGCATCCGCGTCATCCCACTGATCATCACAGATAGTGCCCCACTGGCCCGCATGGTAGACTTCTACTCTTCCTTCGTAAGCGTTGTTCCCACCAGCCAGCCGGATCAGAGTAAAGACAGAAGCTGTGATCAAACACAGATTATAGGAACAGGTCATTTTGTTACCCTGATAGTAAAGGGAAAAGAGGGTTTCTCTGACACTGCTCAAGAATTAGATTTTAATTTTTCTAATTAGATGGAAAACCTGAAATTAAACTTGCTAGAAAATAGCAAGTTTCCCCTGAGCTCCACTCTTGGAAGATGAAAAATATTATACAGACAAGAAGCCATACTGCCCTCGAGTTTCTTAAGTGTCCACAGATACTTAGGACCAAGTACTACACTCAGTGGTGTAGTCAGTCAGTGGTTGCACTTCTACCACTAAGGGCAACATTGGTCCCAGAAGACAAAATCTGTAAGAGGCAAAAAATTCTTTCATTGCCACAGAAGTAGAATTTCACCCTTATGTTTTCATGTCAAAGCATGGAAATCTCATTGCCTCACTTTAATTGTGCAAGTATTGTGTCCTTCCTTAACCTGTCAGCCTGTTTCTGAGATGTGGTGTCATTTTTGGTCTTTTCAAATAATTAGACCTTTTGTGGTGCAGCAGTAAATGTGCTTGGAAACATCACTTCCACAGAAAGCTATAACAGAACCAGCTTAAAATCATGTAAAAAATTAGTCACTTTTGTATTTAAAAGGTTATTTCTAAGTTTAACCATATATAGCATTTGAATGATGTACAGTGTGGTTCATTTTTGCGTATACTTTCCAAGCAATTAATGCTACTTCATCTATTTCTTGGCTGAAAACAAAAAAATTGAGGGAATTTCTCCAAGTCTATCTTACTATTCAGTGGTGTGAAATGTTTTTTTGTTGTTATTGCTGGGTTTGTTTCTTTTGTAATTACTTAAAATGCTAATGGCAGTAGAACCTGCAGAACAGGCAACTTCAGAAAACTTCATCTAGTCTGCAGAATCTCAGGATCAATTTAACTAATTTTAGATATCCTGGGCTCTGAATTATTGATAATCTCGCTTTCAGCATTACTGAAACAGACAAAAAGCCTTCAATATATTTATCTAAACAAAACAAGCTTTTCTGGTGAAAATTTTTATAAGTAGAAGGAAAACCTTATGATCAAAAAGTATAATTTTCCAAATGTATAGTTTTCAGTTTCTTCAGGCAAAACTGTCTCTTGCCTTGGCCTTCAAATTCTTTCCTAGCTTAAGGATTTTTCTATCCTCTACACTACTGTTTTCTAAATTAAGAATAAAATTATGGTTTGGGAAGTCATTCATCAAAATATTCCACATGAACAGTGGAGCTTTAGGACAAAAACGCATCTACCTTTGGGTAGGAATGCAAGTAGGAAAGGAAAAGAAGCACAGGGTTGGCTGCAGCAATACAACATGTTTTGCTTACAGCTGAAGAGACTGCCACTGCCAGCTTCTCAGCACTGCCAGCCTTCCTTGAGGTCAGCAGCATCTTAAACCTGGTGGCATAACTGCCTATTTAGATGCTGTTTATCACGTCAGTTAAAATAATATGAAATATCTTAAAAGCCTTGATAATACATTTTCCTGGTAATATCACTTGATGTGTATGAGTGATGTGTGAGGTGGCAGTCTTCAGGTCTCGGTCCTGCTGTTTTAAATGTACACAGAATAGGACAAACACTTTATAGCTCCTTGTGCAATGCCAGCCACAGTCACAGTAAGGAATGTAAGCCCAAGATGCATCAGACACTTCTGTACTAAAGTTGTGTTTAGCCTTTGAGTGAAATTGGTGCTCCTCCCTATTGTTCAAGAAAAGCTAACAAATTGATGTGTAGTGTTTGGCTACCAAAGAACCTCTGAGTGAGTAAGTAAATAAATAAATAAATAACATGAGAGGGATAAACGATCCTACTTTAACAGCCAGAAGTCCCTTGGGGGATTCTAGCTTCTTCACCCTTCCTCACAACCTCGATCTCAAACCAACATTTTGCTTCTTGATTATAAAATGTAAAAGGTGGTTCTTCTAAGTTGCAGCTTGCACAGCATAGTGGAATCTGAAATAGTTAATGATGCTATGAGTCAATCTGTTTAATTTCCTGTTCCAAGAAGTCTAATAACGTTTATTTATTTAATAATGATTAATTATTACTACTTCCATTTAAATAAGGTAAATACCAAATGTTGTTGTTTTGTTTTTTTTACCCAGGGAAGAGCTACACGTGACAGCAGCAGCCACTTTTTGAGGACATGTTCCATCCTGCCAGATGTCTTTTTCACATGACAATATAGTTGCTTCATCACCACGACAACGCACTTCACTCCAGTAAACAGGAATAACGCCCAGTCCAGAAAATGGTATGTGTTTTGCTGTACCTTTTTCACTGTAAGAAGAATAATCAGGATGTTAGAGCTGGGGGCAAGGGGAGTGAAACATTTGTTTGTGAAATCTGTTCATTGCTGGTACTTATATATAAATATTGGGGTAGAAAATGTCCTAACTGAAACCAGGACAAAAAGAAAGGGCTTTCTTGAACAGGGTAATGCCAGTCGCATTCCTGTTCTCCCAGTTCTTAACTACAAAAATCAACACAGAAGTTCCTTCCACAGTCCATATGTGAACCTACAGTACCATCCCACAACAGATACACTTCCAAGAGAAATAATGCGAAGGGGCCTTTCACTTTTCTCCTCTCCCAATATGCACGTCATATAATATGGTTATGATATGGGGCTGTAAAATTCACCTCATGCTACATTAGATCAGGCTCATGTTCATTATTGTCTTTTCAGCCATTCCCATTCATCCATCCATCCATCCCCTGAACATTTATAAACAGCTTCCTTTCCTTCCCAGACTGAATCTACTCACTGAATGTTCTTATCTTCCATATAATGCCCAACAAAAATAAATTAAAAACAAAACCCAAGTATTGTAACGTCAAAAGAGCAGAAAAATGGAAGCACCTGAAAACCATCACTAAAACCTAGTGAATTCACCTTGTGGTGTATAGATCCACATTTCTGCCAAATACTCAAGACAACATACACATAAACTTTCAACTACATGCTATTTCAAATACTTTCAAATACTTGCTTTTTTTTTTTTCTCCTGGATTCAGGTTTAAAGTCATTTCTGTTAAAAAGACCAAGCCATTTACTCATATCACTGAACTACTTTTGCTAATAGCAGTCTTGTTCAGCTGAAATGTTGATTGGAATGGTATGGATATGGAAGGCAAAAAGGACTTAAATTAAAATGAGGAAAGGAAATATTGCATGTAGACAGCTAAGTCATAAGCAAAATCACAGCCTCCAGATGGCTGAACTTTTATCCCATCTAATCCTTATATTTTTTAAGTTGGCGTGGTGTGTCGAGATTAATATTGAACATTATAAAACAGCTTAGATATTGTTCTGGCTTGCAGTCTTAAAAAGTGGAATAACCATTAGGAATGCCACAATGCAAATATGGTATCCTAGCCCCCTGCTGCTTGTAGGAAACATAATCACTTCTTTGACATGTAACTGCAAGAAAAGTTAGAAAGGCAATAAATCCAGCCATACTTTGCGGCTTATTGAGAATCTGCAAACTGAATGGAGTTCTAAGGGAGGATATCCAAGTAATATTTGTTTGCCTAACTTGGATAACATTGATTTTCTAGCTGAATTTGCATTTTTTAAGATTCCTGAAGGTATGGGCATTTTCTTCCTTTTCCTCAGTTTTGTCTTGCTATTGGAATTGCAACATCACTATAGGCATTATCTAGAGATGAATGACTAAATTACATTAAAATGTCCTGTTGATTAAATCCCCTCTGACAGCAGAGGGAAACAGTGGTCAATAAGGACAGTGAGCTGTTAGCACAGTTCAGGGACTTTCAAACACTGCAATATTACCATGACCCTATAAAATGTTTTCATGAGAATGTAAAGCTGCAAAATTTGATTATTTTGTGTCTAGTTATTGAAGTGTAACAGTAAAATTAACCATACAGATTATCTAGTTGCAGGAAGATGCACACAGCAAAAACACCACATTTCCCCCAAAATCTAGAATGCCTCCCATATGTCTTTTGGGAAGATATTATGGACAATTACCAGGTTAACACCATGATCCTGGAAAACAGGAATATTCCTAAGATTAGGAGGCCATGGAGAAGCTAATTCTGACCACATTTACATTTTTGTAGATTCAGTAACTTAACAAGAGCTGCCCTTAATTGACACTTACATAAGCGAGATTAGGATCAGACCTCATATTTCTGTGCTCATGGACATCTCCTGGATGAGAGATCTAAAGCAGATTTTGTTTTACTTTGAAAGCACAGATCTACCCTGCCTCTGCTCTTCATCAGATCCCACACACAGCTTTCAGATGAAATACTGATTCTCACAGTGACCTCTTTGAAATATATAACACAATTTAAAGATGCAAAAGATCACCCTTTACACTGTAATATCATTAAAATAAGTCCACTGACTTTTACTCAGATTAAAACTTACCCAAGTGCAAGCTGCCGACATACGACTGTTGCATCGTTATTGTCCCAATGGCTGCCACAGATTGTTCCCCAGACTCCATTCAAATAAACCTCCACTGTGCCTTCAAACTCATTCTTGCCACCTTGGAGTCTCACTGACCCTAGTTAAAAGAAGAAAGTTAGGTCTCCAAGATGGTCCATCGCTCATTTATCCTACATAATAGGACTCCGAATTTGTTTTTCCCTCAGCAGAGTGAATTCCTGTTTCATGCACTACCATCTTACTTTGCACACTTTGGGTAAGCTAAGAAGTACTCAGTCATATCTAACATATATATGTGATATATAAAAGCAGACAATCTTCTTCCATAACTTTTCTGACTCTTCTGATGCTACAACCTAGTTAAAGATCTAACCACCAAAAGAAAGTATGTACAGACTGCATAATCATTTAAATGTGGTTAAAAAAAATGTACCCAGATGAGCAAAATCTATCTATATATGAATGTTACGCTTTTATCTTCCTCCTAAGTCCATCCAGCATTAAAAAAAATAAAAAAATAAAAAATAAAATAAAAAAACATGGATTGCATAGCTTTTGCTCTGAGCCATGTAAGATTATGTATGTCATGTATGTAAGTAGTTTATTTTAGCCAAAGAATGCATTTGTTCATACTTGTTCTCAGACAGGAATACGCTTGATATAGTTCTATTAATTCTTGAGGGGTTTTAAGGCAATTCTCAGACAATACAAGCTAAAAATATTAGGAATTTTCTAAAATAAGTGGGAAAAAAGTCGTCTTCTTGGGAGCAACAACACACAAATCCAAGAAAATTAATAGATTTTGCATTTTTATATTACAGTAGTTTTACTTGAGGTGCAAGATGTATCTGCTGTTGAATGTAGCCAAGTGACACTTATAAAGGTGGGAGAAAGCTGATTATAGGTCTAAATCTACAGAAGCAGAACAAAGAGTCAGAACAGTAATTCAGCAAGAGTAAATTTCTGGTAAATTATCAAACAGACTAATTGTGTGCATTAATATCGCCTGAAATCTCAGTTAATCCATCTGCCTCTGCTCTGTGATCTACTTAAAATCAGAAGCTATGCCATCATCCAGCTTGCAGCGTTTTTAGCAGTAGAAGAGAAAAGTCAATGTTTGTCCCTGCCTTCTGTGTTCATATATGAGTATATAATAATAATTATAATAATAGCAAAAATAGGTCGATATACTTTTTCTTCTCGGCTTTCACTCAGATTGTGTTCTGGTTTGAATTTAGTTCAGTATAGTTTATAAAACTCCCAAGCCAAATGACTGCCAAATGACTCGAGGAATTAATTAACCTCAAATTTGATTTTGTGTGTTCCTTTTTGCCTCCTATTTATTTTCTCAGCGGTAACTTACTGTGCAGTAAACTACAAACAAAAGTTATTCATCTTATGTTACAGGGTGAGCTATCATTCAGCACAGAGAGTGATTAATGGATTAATTATAGCAACACTGTAGACATATTGCTTGTTGTTTTTCTGTCTTTATAGTCTTTGTTTTCGTGCTTCTCTGTCACATGCAGACAGGCTCTGGAATTTTGTTTATTTCTGCTCACCAAACTTTTGTGTAGACTATTATTTCCACTTCAAATATAGATTTTAGTCATAGCAAAATGATTCCTGCCATTCCAGAAATTGTGTTTGAAGATGTCGTCTCCATAAACGAGTTTATTTTTGTACATGATTGCTTAAGGTCCTGCATGACACCTATTGAAGTCGATACAGTGTTTCCTGAGTGCACATTATAGAGCAGTTCTTTGCAAATATTTGGATAAGGGTGTACTAGACGATTATAATTATCTTCTAAAGTCTCCATGGCAGAATGTGTCTCACTGCTCTTTCCATACTTGCAGAATTCCCAGTGACAACAGCGGAAGAATTTATTCATGTACACAGAGCCTTATTTCCATGCACCTCTGTGACAAGACCTATAGAAAACCAAAAAATGAAGGATTTAAAAAAAAATAATCTCCTATCTCAACAAAATATTTTGGTTTGCCTTTTTCCTGCAGATTTACAGCTGCTTATAGGAACACCAACATTCTTTGAAAGACAGTAGAATATATAACAGACCTCTGTTTATCTCACAAGAAAATAAAACAAAATAAAGAACCAGCTACCATCATATGGGAAAAAGACACAATATGATCATTAAAGGTATATTTTTAACAAATTTGATATATTCTTAATTTTCACCTATAATTTAATCTAGAGGGAAATAAAGAGAAAGCCTATTCTTACATGTAACTAATATTAAACCTTTAATTACATCTTAAATATAATAGAGTCAACTGAATATACGGTATAACAAAACTATTTCTAACACGGTTGCATTGATTCATACTTTTCTCTTAGGCAGGTGTTGATATCTACAGCTATGCCTAACCTAAAATATCCATGGCAAAATCAAGCATTCGCTCCTCTGGAAAAACAGTAAGCCTTTTTTTTAATTGAAAGTTGAACCCCTCCGAAAGGTTGCTTAGTATTTTATGAAGCCCAATCTAAGTGTTTCTTTCTCAGTATTCCAGCACTGAATCTAACAAAAGTAAAATGATACAGTACTCTGTATGTTTCATATGCACTTTGAAGTATGTGTTAGCTTATGATAAGTCATAATTATGTAGCAAGCAAACCAAAGAGCAAATTAATGAGAAAATGATTGTTCTGTAATTTATTCAAAATGTTGCAGTATTCAGCCCCTGGTAGTTATTTTACTGGATCAAGAGATACATTAATTACAGTAAAATGGATACCTCAAAAAACATAACAGAACTGTAAAATATATCACTTTGCTTCAATAGGTTATTTTTCCTTTCCAATAGACTTTCCAAAACTTTTACTTTGTAACAGAACAGATTTATTTCATGTGCAAATGGATCACAGGGAATTGCAATCTGACCAACGTTATCTGCCATCATGTATATTTATGCTATATTACTATTATTAGCTGATGACTCTATCTTTGTTATTAAGAATGTGTTAGTATCTTCATTGTAGGGTAGTCAGTGTTTGCCTAGTTAAAATGAACAGGAAACACTTTTACTTCATAGGTAGCAAGAAAACTAATATTTAGTCTAATCAAAAGGATACCAGTAAATCTTAATTTTATTAATCCTTAATTCTTAATTTCACTGGTTAAGTCTTCTATTGTTACATTTTAACACCACATGTCCATCCTGCACTTCAACACGTGTGTTCCAAGGGGCTTCCTTCTGTGCTTTCCCTAGGGCAGCTCTGCAGAAGAGCATTTGAGTTACTTCTCAGCAAACAGGTCTAGCTTCAGTATATGTAATGGAACATCTAGGTTTGTGGAGTTGTAGATAATAGCACAATCTCGTATTTTTTTCAGGTGCAAGTTTTGAGCTGGTTTGGTTGCTGAAGAAAACTAAATGTGATGGGAGCAGAGCTAGCACAGGAATAAATATTCTGGCTAGCATGCAGTGCTCTGAGAAATGCACAGAGTTCAATAAGGTGTCAAGCCTCTTAGCACCAAGCTCAATAGCAGGGAATGCAAGTGAGTACAGGGACCCTGCCCATAGCTCTCAGTGCCCTCCTCAGCACTGGTCAGAAAGAGGAAGGAGCCCCTGCAGGAGAGGTGAATTGACCCCACAAGAGTAAGAGAAAAGGACATATGGACACAGAGTGGGACTGGCAGGTAGCTTTAGGACACATATTGTGGTCCTAGAATGGCATTCATTCAACCCTTTATTGAAGAATACAGATTTACCACCTTCACAGAAACTCAATCATTTATATACACTCAAAATGTGTACGCATTTCTTTCAATTACATTCTGCCTGAGGTTACTGATGGTCAATCACGTCGTTTACATACAGTTTGGTAATTTTAATTGCCCTGGTATCTGCCCAAGTCAGAATCTTTCCTATCTGCTATCACTGTTTAAAAGAGATTAAGTTATACTTGCAAATGCAAGGAAGTAAGGGTATCCAGTGGGTGCTGCTGAGACTTGCTCAGCAGCACCTGCCATACAGACTCAAGCTGAGACACAGCAATTAAAAAAAAAAAAAAGAGGAAAACTGCCCAGCCAACTTTTAATAAACTCCAAAAAGAAGTGCTTCAAAGGAATTGTGCTTTGTACATGTACAACACACGTGGTTCACTTGGCTCTTCTGCTCTACCATTCTCATGCCCAGAGATGCTGCATAACTTCAAACCCTGTTTTATTTTCTACATTTCACTGAGAACAAGCATTGTTACTACGTGTGGCTGAATTGAAAATAGAATGAGAATCACTTCATTTTTGCTTGTGTAAGTACTGCCATGATAGGGTTTATGATAAAGGTGTACCAGTATTTTCTTCATAACACCTGTGTTCAAAGGCTTGTAGTTTGGCTATAAAATGTAGATTTTCAAGAGTAATTATAAGGAGAATTTTCCTGTGCCTTCTCCTCTGGTGCTACATTCAGAGGTCTGAAGGAAAGCAAAAGAAATATTACAATTCTGGAAATTCGTAGAAACTGCAAATGTTATTTTTGTTTTAAAATAACTACCAGGGGCTGAATACCGCAACATTTTGAATAAACTACAGAACAATCATTTTCTCATTAATTTGCTCTTTGGTTTGCTTGCTACATAATTTGCATTGTAACACCTTTTGCAAGGTGTTACAAAATCAAATAAAATATACCTGTTGACTTCAGAAAAACAATGGATGATGCTCGCTGGAACCAGTGCAGAACCACTTTCAGTCTAAAATTATAATTCTTTTCTCTTGGTAGTTACACCTTGAAAACGGGTGCATCCATCAGAACTGCTTTGTAAGACCTACTTTAGTACACAACATTACTGCATGCTCAAGGAGCCTTATAACAGGAGTTTCATAAGTATTACATATATTGAGTATGTAATGTGATGACTTGGTTCCTCTGTAGCAGTGAGGTGAGGTTCATCATGTCAACAATCAATGTTTTAAGGCTTTGAAAAAAGAACACAATGAAATTTTAGGAATGTAATGGGTTCTAAAGGATTGCAATTATCGGATGTGATACAGAGCTGTAGAAATTGAGGGGTTCTCATGCTGTGCAGGTGTAATAAGAATGGTCCCAGAAGAGCTGCTTCAGTCTTAGAAGGAGAAAATAAACGTTCAAGTTTGATTTTTCATCTTTTTTTTTTCTTTAACCTTATGCTAATAAAAAAGTCCCAAAATACCTTCCATCAACTGCCCAGACCATAGTGTAATAAGTAGAGAGAATAATCATGTGTTTAAACTATGAGCCTGAGGCTTGATTCTTCTCTCCCAGAACTTTTGTGAAGCATTATTTGATTGGCATTAGTGGAATTACCCTTTGATGAAAGAGATTCAAATGGAAAGACTCCACACTTGGGATGTTCTGGAGGTGTGTATTTGATTTCCAGTTCTGACACTGACTGGTAGTGTGACCTCTGGCAAGACATGTACCTTCTTTTATTGTTTCCCCTTTGTAGAACAAAATAAAATAGTTAACCCACTTTACTCAAAGAGCTTTAAATTAGATACGTAACAACATATGAAGAATACTGTAACTACATGCCACATAAACACTGTGTGGCAGCAGTTGCTTCCAGGTGCTGAAGGAGACTTCTGTTTTCAAGCATGAATAAGGTACACAAGACAGCTAAGTTGCTATTAGCAATGCCTAAAATTCTAAATTCTGCTAATTTGTAAATTTTGCTGGTTCTGTATACCGCATACTCTTGTACTCATTTATTTTCCTCTATGATTTCCTTGCTTAATCATGATAATTTATATCTATTTGTATTTGGTTTACTTGCTTTCAAAGATTGAATAAGAAATATTACCCAGATGCCTCTCGTTTTAGAAGGAGGAAATAAAACACCAAAATATATTATTTTAAACTATTAATCTGATTTTAGGTTGGTATCGTGTGGTATAATTGCAAAGGCATTTTTGTTTTGTTTTAATTTTCCAGCATTAACGTTAAAATATAAAGCTCTTTAATATATATGCATGCACAAAGTTTAACCAATTAACTTTGCACATTAGTCTTAATGTTTAAGATAGGAAATCCAGGAGATTTGCAGCTAGGGCTTTGAACACAGTATTGTATTTATTTATTGCAGGTGCCCAAGAGCTGAGTGTGGGCTTCCTCAGTACATGTAGTAACGCAACAGATGCAGGAAGATTATCTCTAGTCTGTCCTCTAGCTATAAACTGCCTCATAACATTGCCTTGCTTGCATTTCACAGAATCACAGAATCACAGAATTTCTAGGTTGGAAGAGACCTCAAGATCATCGAGTCCAACCTCTGACCTAACACTAACAGTCCCCACTAAACCATATCCCTAAGCTCTACATCTAAACGTCTTTTGAAGACTTCCAGGGATGGTGACTCCACCACTTCCCTGGGCAGCCTGTTCCAATGTCTAACAACCCTTTCGGTAAAGAAGTTCTTCCTAACATCTAACCTAAAACTCCCCTGGTGCAACTTTAGCCCGTTCCCCCTCGTCCTGTCACCAGGCACGTGGGAGAACAGACCAACCCCCACCTCGCTACAGCCTCCTTTAAGGTATCTGTAGAGAGCAATAAGGTCACCCCTGAGCCTCCTCTTCTCCAGGCTGAACAAAGAAACATATTTCAGGACCAAAGTTATAGTAATGTCTATTTCTGGTCAAACGTCTTGATGCATTTCCCTGTCCCATCTTAAGCCATTTCATACATTCCCTAAGTCTTTGGTTTCCCCTCCACAAAGACTTTTGGGCAGACTGTTGGCCCATGGAAATCACTGAGAATTTACTGCTGAGTCCAAAAGACTTGGGAAGGAAAACAAACAAACAAAAACACTCTGAAAAGAGTGAAGAAACACGGCCAAACCCAAATCATGCAGCATTTTTGGCATTTTTTTCATTATCAAGTTCTACATAACAGCATTCGGTCTTCTTGAAGGAGTACAGCATTGGCTTTGAACATGGCTTTGGAAGCTGCCGTTTTTTTAATGCAGAGATTAACACTACGGACCTCGGTGCCTCCATGTGCTGTTCCTGTGATATTTTATACCAATATGTATAATTCTCACATTGATCAAACTATCATCCTTTTTTCAGCTCTGTATCTGATATGCCCAAGCGCCCAGGGGCCGGGTGCTGAGGCGGCAGCACGACCTCCCACGGCGGGGTGCGCACACGGGCTTGCCGACCGCCTTCTCCCTCTCCCCCTCACATTTCGGGACAGGGAGGGAGCCCAGCACCCCTCGGAGAAGCGCTCCGGGTGAGCAAGTCGCGGTCCAGCCGTGCTGCCCAGCACTGACGGAGTTGGAGCCCCCCCCGGGCTGCCTCCCGCCCCGCTCCCCGCCCAGGTGCCGCCCGGAGCCGCGTTCCCGCTCACCTCGCTCGCCCTCAGCAGGGCGCCGCCGGGGCCCGGGCAGGGCGCAGGAGCTGCGGCGGCCCCGCGGCCCCCAGCCCGCCCAGCCCCGCCGCGGGAGGCCCGGGGGAGGCGGCGGCGGCGGCCGGGGGCAGGCGGCGGGGGGCGGCGGGGCCGGGAGGCCGCCAGAGACCGGCCCCGGCCCGCGGGTGCCGGGCAGCGCGCCCAGCACCAGCGCCAGCAGGAGAGCGCCGGCTGCCATGGTGCCGGTGCCGCCGGCTCGGGCCCATCGCCCCCTCGCACTGCCGCCGGGATGAGAAGGGGGGAGGCGGGGCCGCGGCGTCCCGCTAATCCCCCTCCCTCCCTCCCTCCCTCCCTCCCGCCTCCCCGCCGCTCCCCCGCAGCACGGCCTCGGGGTCGCTTCTACCCCCCCCCACCCGCCAGTTAACTTCTCCAGTTATAAGGAAAAGCAGGTACTACAGCGTTTGGTATCACCTGTATTCATTTGAGTTGTGCTGATCTGTGCTTAAAGTATTCCTGTGACAATACAGTTGGTACTTGAATCCCTCACGAAGTTAAAGAGCACCCTGCTAGGGTGTCTACAGCAATGTGGTAACTATGCTGTTGCATGTGTCCATTGCATTTCTGGGTGGGTTTAAGCGCACAGGTTGGCCTTGCTTTCCGAGTTTTCTTCTTAGACACATGTCTGCATTAGTTTAGAAACTGTCAGGACTGGCAAGAGTGTAATTTGGTCTTGAAAAAATTGAGTAGGTGCAAGATATTAGCCTGAAAGCAACTCATTATGGCCATTCTTTCATTGTCTGCGAATTCGTTGCTGTCATGGCAAGTTGGTTGCTTTCATCTTTGGAAGGATGGGTAAAAAGCATGTTCAGCCTAGCTAGTTAAGGCTACCTTCACTACCTAGTAAACACTTTTTGGCATTAAAATAAAAGCAAAATTTAATTTCCCCTGACCTAAGCTCTTTTTTTTCCCCCCCCTCTAGTCTGGAAGAGGCAGGGCTCTGCAGATCAGCATGGGAGCAAGAGAGCAGATGAGTGTGATAAATCTTGTAAAACCCTTCAGGCAAAGCTGTGAGTCTGGTACTTATTCATGTATTCTGATTTCATTTGTCTCTCCTAGGTGTGTGGGCCTGCAGGAATCTCACATGCATGGAACTTTCTTTGCCTGTGTAGGGTAGTGGAGTTTGTATTTTAGGTTACAAAATGGGACTTAAGTGGGGGGCATGGCGAGATGGGAAGGGGTTGCACAGGTGAGAAGGTTAGGAAGCAACATCTTGAAGGAAAGAGTACATATCATTACGATGATGCAGTTGAGGTTTAATCGGATAATCCACGTGCACAGGTTCAGACTTGAAGATTTTGATTTTGATCATGAGTTTTGTTTTTGATGTAATCATATATGGGGAATGAGCATTAATTTGTTTTAACAACTGTGAATTAGCTTTCAGCATGATGGGAGGTTGCTAATGCTACAGGAAATACTACTTTTGTTAGAATTTACATATTAGGGTCTGAGTCCGGTTTCCATTTAAGACACTAAGTAGGCAAGGCCTTTTTCTAAAAATCCCAGAACTAATGGAGTCTGGTTTTCTCAGGTTGTATGGTTTGTGCTTTGCAGCTTCTGTCTTGGCTAGACCATTGATGATGGTCTCCCCCATTTGGTTTCTCTGAAACTGTGCACATGTGCACGTTGCAGTCCTTTCTGCAACTTACAGGTGCCATATATAATATCACTCTCATCTGCTCGACTGCCTACTGTTATTACACTTGCAAGAAGCTCATTATCTCTGTGACTTCTGCCTTTGTCACATTTCTCACAATCAGTCAAAAGTTAGTGGGAAAAGTGAAAGCAGCAGTTACATGGACAGACAGTGTGATTTGCAGAGCCTTGATTCTTTTGGACATCACACTGAAAATAACAGTAGGCATTACAAGTGTGCTTAAAAAGAAACTGTGTTATATTTTAAGGGTAGACTTTACATTCATATATTTATAAAGAATAATAATGGCTTATTATTCTGATAAAGCTAGGATTCTTTTTAAAAGATGCTGATACGAGATGTTCTTGATGCTTTTGGTTGCCTTTAGTTTTTCTTTACAAAACTGATAAAAACTCATTCACAAACTGAATTAGAAACGAAAAGTTACATTTGCTCAATTAGAAAAATAAGCAAGTAAACCTCAAATGGATCTGGGTATTCAAAACAATTTTGATCCTGAAATTACAGTATCAAACTTTTCAGAAAAAAAATGACAGAGATGAAATGTTGAGAAAATAATACATTTTTTTGAAATTGTGCTAGTTCTATGCCCTCAGCAACATTGTGAGATTTAAAGATAGTAAACTGTATTTGACAAGACCCACATTTTTATATGGAAAGGCTTGCTTTGGTCATTTTACACTGGTAGAGAAAATAATCCATTAAAATGACATTACACTGGATGAACTGGCTCCATCTGAAACCCATAGCAATTCTGCCCTTTACAAAACATTTCCAGCATTTAAGCTTAGTATTTGGATTGCAGCTCCTATGCATGGAGGTAGTACCTATTGATAGCAGTCCCATGGAAGCCCATCAAACAATGATTATGACCAAAGTTAACAAATCTGTGCTACATACCTAAAAACTTCCATGAGAGCGATTGTAGGAAATCATCTACTAGAATAGGTCTTAATTTGTGTGCAATGCCACAGGGTTGGCTGCTTTTTGACAGTCCAAATACCAAACTGTTGATAAAACAAGGAATAATAAATAATTCATAGGTATGAACTGTATAATCTGACTACTTAAAAAAAAAAAAAGCCCCAAACACCTGCTGTATTTCCATGCATAGGTTCATCATATTCATCAGATACCCGAGAAATGCAAATAACAGAAATACTCCCATAATACAGGAGCAGCATGGGTTATTCACATCTGCAAAGCTTAAAAGGAAACTTACAGAAAAGCTTCCTTTTCCCTAATAGAGACTAATTTTCAATAAATTGTTCTTGTGAACAGGTGAAGATATCTGATGTGTGGGTTACACTTGCAAAAATACCATAGTCCCGCATTTGGAAAGCATTTCATACTGAGCATTTAAAACTCAGCTGGAGAATCAGCCTAATTCTGCTCCCATACAAATCAATAGTAACATTCACTGATTTGCCTCTTCCTGTGTGCAGTAAAGCTATTTACCTTTATCTTAGAGTGGCTCATACAGTGTGCTTTCAGCATAGATTTTAGAAAAGCTGGGCATTTCCGGCTGTTGGTGGAATTCAGTTAAAATACTACCGACAAATGAAGTCCTGAGTCAGACCTATTTTACTGCCACGGATTCCCCTAAGCCATGGTATTCCCTCCTGTAGTCCCTCTTAAGCAGATTAGAGTCAAAGAGCAATGTAGATGTGAAAGATCAGAGCAAGGGCTGACCTAAGGCAGTGGAGAGGAAAATTCAGTCCCTATATAGGAGAAGTTCTCCCAGGAAATAATTACAAGTACAAAGCAGAGAATGTAGCCAAACAGCCAGGCATAACACAGAACTGAAATGATTTTCAGAATATCAACCTAGTAATTTCTTGCTGTTGTTTCTTCTCACTTTCAAGAGTGCTGGGGTCAATAGATCAGCTGCTGGAATCAATGGAAAAAATTATGCACTGAGTGAGATCAAACAGCAGCAGACAGGCTCTGAAGTCAGGATTAGGAGAGGAAGCAAGGCTTCACATAAAGATTTCCATGTTGAAAGTGGGCCACAGAATGGGTGCTGTAATGAGTCAACATTTTTAGGGTATAAATCAGCGCTCGTATAGAATATTTTTATTCAGTAATCTCATTCTTTTTAACAAACACAGGCAGCAGAAATTTGAAGTCCTGCCAAGTGTGAGTCAAAAGTAATTTGGGTTCATGCTTATGTGGAAGAGAATAGGCCTTTTGTCTGTAATTGTATATAAGGTCCATAGGGTGACCCCGCATTAGAGAGGATGTAAGTGAACAGCCTGTAATTGATGAGGTTTCCATTACCACATAACACAGTGTGCACAGGAATGAAGTCACAGCAAAACCTTTTTTTTAAAGTGTTAAGTATTTTCTTGTACAACAGGATAAATTCATATTATAACGTAGTAAGTACTTCAGTTTCCTGGAACAATTCAATACATAGGTATAAATATACATGCCTGGGTTATTCAGACATCCATGAAGTGCATTTAAAACTGAAAAGTAAATTGAATCTTGCAAAAGGATGAACACTTTTTGTTTAATACAGTGAGTGAAAAAAATGCTGAGATAACTGAGATAATTTTGATACATCCAACATAACTGGATGTAATTTTAAAAGTATCATAGTTTTCCACAGGAAAAAAAATGGTTATTTGGGTAGCAATAAAAATATAGAGATATTTGTTTAAATTAAAAATAAAAATACTGTGGTCAGTAGAATAGAGGCTCTAATTCTGCAAATAAGTAACCTCGCTCTTAGTAAGTTAACATCTGCATACTGTAATGTGTCCATGTGCAAAGTAGGCTACACGAGTATGATGTGTAAAACTTTGGATGGCTGAAGAAATAATTCGCCCATGCTGTCGCTCCTATTTCAGTCACACAGAGGAGTATACAAGAGGTCCAACATACAGTCTTGCTCGGGCAGTCGCGGTGTGATGGTGTTTGCAGCAGGAGCAAGCCCCAGGCACACCTTTGTGTTCCTCTCCCCTCTGGGCTGTTTGGCAGACCCCAGGTGTGCTGTGCCATGGAGACACTGCAGCTGAGTGGGGAGCGAGACTCAAGTGCAAGATTCGGTGTACACCAGCACAGCTGTATAAATGCTGCAGAGGTGGTGCTTTATTTCCTGGTGTTTAGAGGAGGAGGTCAATATTACATCGCGTGCTGCAGGCTGTTAACTAGGCGAAAGGTGAGTTTGTGAGGCCGTTCTATAAATAAGCACACGTAAAGAGGAAAGGATATGCTAAAAGAGTATTTGGAATGGAAAATGGCATTTGTTAACAGTCTTAAGGATTTGCTAAACAACAGAACTTTAGATGGAACTTTAGTTTCTAATGTGACTACCTTGGATACATATGATTTGGGGCCCTTGATTCAGTCAGTCTGTCCTTTAAGGAAGCTCTGTGATACATTCTGTGCTCATGCTGGAGAAACAACCCACTTCAAAAGAAAAAAGGATCAGTAGGCAGGCTGCACCTTTGTTAAAATACTTAAAATTTGTTGTTGAAATGTTTAACATTTTGGCTTAGATCTAAGAGAGATAAGTTGAGAAAAAAAAAAAAGAGGTTTTTGTTTGTTTGTTTTCATGCTTTCATCATCATACAACG